GTGTTCTGCGATCCTACGGGCCCGGCAGCGCAGTAAGTGAAGCAGATGCCCCCCCCCCTGAAGATCTTCAACTCAGTGAGCATAGTTGCACTGGCGTTCGACTCCGCGAGGACAGAAGCCATTTTCTTTGCTCCCCCATGCGGCGCAGCCGTCTCTGCAGAGCGCTGGAACGAACGCCTGCGAGCTGTCACGACATGCAGGGAGGTGCTTTATGGTGACTTCATGAGCATCTGCTCCCATGAAAGGGTTCTAGATTGTGTTTTATTCGTCCGTATTCCGTGCAAAGAGGCGCTAATACGAAAGGCTGACAAACAAACGACACTAATCCCCCGCCCTCCCTTACGTTTGTGAGTTTCCATAATTGAGAGCACATGTGCCGTCAGATGTATGATTGATCTGACCTCAGAAGGACGTTGATCCTCTAAAGTTCTGTCCTGTGAGAATAATAAACACGCCGACGAAGCAGAGCAACGCTGAAGCTCACACTTGGTTTAGTGTCGGAGCGTAGTGGGACATTTGAGTGTTAACATGTTCATCCACATTAAGGGGACTGTACGGTACATATATGAAGAAGCACACATTCATCCGACGGGAATGTAAACACCCTCAGAATAAAGGTCTGGCTGCACTCCAGTGAACAGAAACACCTCCAGTGCACGTCTGCATGCAGGTAGTTTCTGTTCTAGTTGACCAGCTTCTGAGATTTGAGATACAAAAGGAGGTGAAGGGAGTCTTTGTCTCACAGCTCACGCTGTTGACATAAAAAGGACATTTATTATAAAACGGATTCTTGTGTTTGGTGCTACTTACCAGAACGTGGACTTGCAGGGGGGGACAGTGGGTAAGAATCACACACTTCCCCAAAGTTTTATGGTGAAAACAGAAAGGCTTCACAAAATGTGACCGAGTTTCTTCGATTGTGAAGCCATGTGGTAGAAATAATAAGGCAAAAGTACATATAGTTTCAGATAGAACGGACTCAGCTTCCTGTCTGGCTTACGACCCGAGCAGCCTGGTACATCCATCACGAGGGTCCCTGCCTCAGCATCCTCACAGCTGATGTCACAACTATCCATGTGACCTCGCCGTTTAGACAAATAAAAGTCAGCCGTTTTACCCCGCCGTTTATGTCTCATGCTGGAAAATGCGAGCGGAGCATGACGAGCTCGTCTTTATATGGTGAGACGTGTCTCGTATGTCGGGAGCTTTTATGAAACACCTCGGATCAGAGCCACTTGGATGAAACCTAATATCCATCATCATGCCCCATCTGTTAAGCAAATACTGCAGAAATTTGCCTTTTTGAACTTTCTGCATGTGAAAAATATTTCCTCTTAATGTCTCATCTGTATCTGTGCACGTAAGAATGTATTAAGGAGTCGACCTCTCTAATTCCCTTTGATCTGCAGACTGTAACTTTAGCTACTGTGTCAGTCTGACCCGAATGTGTGTTTCAACTCTGGAAAGTTCATCTGTTCGTCTCTTGCGATCTTCTTGGAGAAGATGTTTGGAGCATCATCACAGGTCGGCTGATTCAGTGTCGCTGAGAGGCTGAAGGATGCTTTGTCCCTGTGTGGGAGGAGCCTGGAAGACGCACACAGACTATCAAGTATTGGCAACCTCACGGACAATGTCATGGTAGCAACCTGTCAATCACTGCCAGCCCCGCCCCCTGAGAGAACACCAAATGTGTCCGCGACTTATTGTCAGCTTCTCTCACTCCCTTAACTGCCCCCCAACACCCTGACAGTCGTCTGCAGCAACACACACACACACGCACACACACATTAACGCGTGGCTTCACGCACGAGGTGCAACCCGCCACCTGCGCACTCACAAATTACACACACGCACGAACACACGTCACGGTGATTACGGCGACAGAAGGTTAGGTTGCAGTGGTACGTGCACCCTGAGTCCAGGTGGAGTACTTTTAATGTCCCCCACACACACACACACACACACACACACACACACACACGAGAACTATTTCTGCACTCTGCGTTCCTTTGCATTTCACTTTCTCTCTACAAACAAGAGCGCGTTTCCACACACCCCGCCGACAACCGAACCTGGCCGAGGGGGGAGGTTGGGGTCAAAGGTCTGTTATTCGTGTGAGACACACGCCGTGCATGCGTGTGCGCCTGCTAACTCGACCTAAGCCTCGGCGCCGCGGCGCGTGTATTTGTTTGTTTGTGTCAAACCCTCTGCTGCCAGTCAGCCGGGCCGAGGTTCATAACTCCGGCTTAAGTGCGTCTATTCACCCACCCACACATACAGAGGGGACCCCCGGGGGCCACGGTGAGAGTATGAAGATGACATCGGACCACGCAGATCGCCTTTCGCCCCCCCCCTCCCCCTCCTTGAGTCGAGTTGAGAGTGCCGTGAGGGGTTTTAGGAGCCCCACGACACACGAAATCCGATCGCCCAACCGTTGTTTTTGGGGACAATGGCTGCTGGTTGAGGACGGGGCAAAAGGTGTGCGGTGTCTCACGTGCGTCCCCCGCGGTGCCCGAGCACCAACGAGTTCACAGGAAAACAACCTAAAAGATGTCGAACGTCAGCGGCCTGAGCAAGAAAAAGAAGAAACGTTGATTTGGAATCAGTAGTAATCGTTTTATTGATGCCCCTGGTGATTAATCGTCTTCAAAACTGGCTTAAAGGACAAATTGGGGTTTTGCTCTTTATTTTTTTTCCAGCGAAGCATTGTTCATATATTGTTATGAAAAGATGTCTGGTCATAAATCCTAATCTCCATCTGACAACGTGTTCCAAAGCTTGTTTGCCTTCCGCCCATTCCGTCTGGTGAGATGTTGATGAAGAAGATATGAACCTTTTAGAGGGAGGAGAGCTCGTCAGTAAGTAAGTAAGGACAGTGATGTTGCCTTACACATAAAAAACAATCCGTCTCTTCCACAAAGTGAGGCACAGAGCTCATTGGTGCTACACTATCGGTACCCAAACCCTGTTCATCGGCTCGTCGCATCCCTCCACTCAGCTTTTGTCTATTCATCTTGGAAGCGGCTTTCTGCCCACCGCTGTTGTTTGGAGGCTGTAAATGCTTTCTGGAGGAACCTTTCCTCTAAAACTCTCTCTGTGCGGCGAAGACTTGAGCTCGTCAAAACAGCCGCTGCACCGTCCCGACCGCAGTGCCCTGATCCTCTGACATACCTCAGCCGAGACCTTCCCAGTCCCGCCTCCCATCGTCTCCGCTTCAACCAAACAACTCCCAAAGCCCCGTTTGTTTGCTCTGAAAACAACCAGCCTGGGGGGGGCGTGTTTATTGAGCCGCGTGGCATGATCCCCACGGCGGATCAGTTCTGGCAGATTCTCTGCGAGGGTACGAAGGAACGGATTTAGTTTGATGCAACGAGACCTGCCTTTACAATTAAAGGGACAGTTCAGCCCAACTGTACATATTTGTCCTCTTGCACACCTGCATTTCTCAATGTCTGCTTGTCCCACATAATTAATAATAAGCATAAGGAAGACATGTCCACAGCTGATAACTCCATAACTCACCAACTCCAAATAGAGTTTGATTATTAAAAGCCATGAACTGATGTAATTCCCTTTTTTTGGCGAGTTTATCTTATCTTATCACAGCCGTTTATCTCAGGTGTGTAAAAGCCTCGGGTCACAACAAAAGGTCACAAACATTTCCGCGTGGGGCTTCCTGCTAACCCTTCATGCAATAAAGACACGGAGAGGTCGCTCTGAAAGGAGCCGTCCGCAGGTCTTCATAATCACTCTACCTGTACACACACAACCCCCCCCCACCCGCCAGCTCTTTGTGACTCCAGTGAAGAGGTCACCATCCACTGAAGCTGAGAAAACAACAGAAAGCTCAGGACTGGTCAGGCGGCCGGGTCAAGGACCTTAAGAGGCCCGGCATCCTCTGGGTCATTAATAATTAATGAAACCCGAGGCTGGGACAGGAGGCCGTGACTAAACACAAAAAGAGACGGAGCGGAGCAGCGAGAGGGAGCGAGGAGGGGCGAGGGGGTACAAGGGGGAGGGGGGGGACTACTGTCCATGCTTTCACTGTATGCTCCAAAGGCTCCAGACACAACAATTTACACAACCCAGCGACGCTTGAAAAACCAAAGAGGGGAGCTTTTCTAAACTCAAGTGAGAAAGTAGAGGCCTGTTTTTTGTTTTTTTCATGGAATGACCAAAGAAAAAAGACAGCACAAAAGTCTCCTGTCGCACCGTCCCCCCAAACTAGTCAACAAGGCGTGTACTTGCCCCCGAGGTGCTATCACGCTGAGGGACCTCCATTACGAGCACGGCCCGATGAAAGAGTAGCTTAGGAGGGGGGGGGGCTTAAGAAGTTTTGGTTCTCAACCCTCCCTCCAGATATGAAAGAAGACAGCCCAACATGACGATACTTTGGAAAATGAGATCTAGATCTAGATCTCTTTGGCTTAAAAGTGAACGTCAAGGGTGTCAGGCTACAATGGCGGACCCAAATGCACGACTCAGGAAACAGGGATAAGGGTAATCGGGTTATTGCTCCCAGAGTAATGCAGGCAACAGTACAGGTCCAACAGGCAGGTCAACGTGGTCGTAGGTACAGGCAATAGGTCAAGGTACACGAGAAGACCAACCAAGGGAACGCTCGAAAGTGAGTCAACATGGAGCTACAACAATCTGGCAGGGGACCAGTGAACAAGGGTGAGCTTATATACACTGGGGAGGGGAAGACAACTAGACACAGGTGAGAAACATCAGAGTGGAGACCAGCAAGCAACAGACAGGAAGACAAGTGACGTGAATAGAGACGAACAGTAGATGCAAAATAAAACGGGAAGTTCATGAAAACCGACGGAAAACACATGATGTCGGTGTACCTTTCTTCTTAAAACACATCCATATCACGCCTGCAACCCCAATACGAAGCCCTCCAATCTGTTATTCTTACAGCAGATCTTATTCCACCACCTGGGATTTCTTCTTTTCAAACTGCTGCCTTTTTCTTCTCCTTCTTTTTCGCTCAGAGTTCATCGGACGACTGCGGCCCGCACGAGGGAATCCACGAAGGCAAGGAGGGCGAGTACCGCCTGCAGGTGACCCAGTTCTTCCAGAGGCTTGTGTACTGGCACAAAGAGCTGACCAACACCTTGGTCACGTCCATCACTGTGGTGCCGGTACACGGCCGGACTGTGGCGTACCTGGGCACCGCCGACGGGCGCCACATACAGGTAAGGGAGTCGCTTCGCTTATTCTTCCCCGTTTTTTTGTTGTTGGTTTTATTTCAGTTCAGTTGTGTATCCGTCTTAAGTCCGTGGGCTGTACAGTGGGCTGTAAATGGCATGTTGAGAATGATACAGACCCCAAAAAGCCAGTCATTTAACACGTCTCAGTAACACACATAACTTTAGTATCTAAATGTCCAAATGTCTTTGCTTTCTCCATTCAAAGCATCATATTTTATGACATAATCACCCCAAAAAACAGGATTTAGTGTTGTTGTGGCCTTATACAGAAGACTTATGGTGCTGTAACATTGCATCGTTCAAACGTCAGTGTCATCAATGAAGCCTCGAGCTTTTCAGTTCGGCTACCCACGCCTTGTGTTGCTGGTTGCATCAAAACCCTTCGACCCAGAGGTTTATCATGACCCGTCTTCACATGTGAGAGTGTAGCAGGTTGCAAACACAGTTGTCCTCATGTCCTCGCTCGTTGTCCGTGTAAATTCGGCCAGACGAAAACGCCGCGTGTCGGATCTCCAGGCGCCCTCCGCCAGCTTGTGGGAAACCGCGGCCCTGGCGCCAGGACCTCGCTGTTTGCATAGTTTTCTCACCTTTGACCCGCGAGCTTCCAAAAGGCCCACGTCCCCATCTGAGCAAACAGGCCGTGTGGCCGGTCAGCTGCTCTCCCACGTTAGATAAGATTGGTTCAGTTTGGTCAATAAAACACTTCAAAAACAAGTGAGAACAGAAAATGGAGCAATAAAGCCGGATATTGGAAGATTAGAGAACCGGAATCAACTGTTGTCACAGTGGTGACAGTTAACTGAGCACTGATTCTGTAACATATAGGTCAAACAATGTTCAAATCAGGTAAGATTATATCAAATAAAAAGGGTTCATTGGACTTTTTACATCCAGTTATCTTTCAAATTCTTGAATATAATATAATAAATAGTTTGTTTTAGAAAACAACTTGTTCTCCTTCAACCAAGTACAACTAAGATCATCCCATCAATTTAAAGGGAGCCAGGTGGTTAGGCCTTTGCCCGCGCACATAAAAAACATTTGAATCTTTTTGGAGCCCCGGAGGGGGCACAATGTTTTTTTTTTGATTTCCCACGGGCTGATGGGTAACATTTGGGCCTTGGGCATAAAAACTAAGATAACCCTGGTTTTTTGGGACGCGGCGCCGGGAGAGAAACCCCCCCCCGCCCCCCCCCCCCCCCCCCCCCCCGAAAAAAGACAACGAAATGGAACAAGACGCGTAAAGCAAAATTACCTCACGTGTTTTTGAGACACAAGAATGAAAAGAGGTGGAGAAAGAAACTAAAAAAGGCAACAGAGACGTAGAGAGAAATCGACAGCTGCGTTGGGGGGGTGGGGGGGTTACAAGCTGAACGGCACGTTAATGGTGAACGGCGGGCTCCACTGACACGTTCACTCGCACGGCATCTTGGACTCGCCGAGGGTCATGGGCAGCTGTTGCCGTGTGTTTCTCTACTGCCACGCCGCCCCACACACACACACACACACACACACACACACACACACACACTGGACACACACACATGCGCACACACACACACACAACTTTAACTTCTTTCTGTTCGGGTTGTGTTTTTTCGACAGTTTGTTGAATTGGCTGAGGTTCATTGTTTTAGCAGCTGTCTCACACCACTAAACTCTGCGTATCATCTGACAGAGGAGCTCGTTGGAGGAACCGCAGCTTTTTACTTGTATATATATATATATAAATATGTATATATGTAATATGTGTCACATATTAGTAAACGTCATCATGAGTGTAAAACGAATGCAGATGGAATTATTAGTGGATTTTAGGTAATAGACGGAAAAGGGAGAGAAAGAAAAAACAGGTGCAAAGCAGGAAAGATGCTTTCCAAAAACCCTCAACAAAAAAGCTTCTATATGTAGAAGAGAAGACCCTCATTGTCAGTGACGTCATCATGGAGCTTTATGTTTTGCAATCTTTGGTCTTGGCTGTTATTGACCTGCGGCTGATGACCACATTGTATTCCTGTTTTAACCTCTACGCACCTCGAAAGTCAGCCACTTTGACTTTCTTCTATCTTTTCAAAATAAAACCAAGCTTGTTTCCAGGAGATGCCCAGCATTTTCAAAATAAACTCCCAAGATAGATTTAATTTTGCTTTAAAACCACTGTCAGCCCTACAAAAACAAATTACTGTGTTTTCGGGTCAACCTATGTTGACTTTAATTGAGGTGGGGAGCTTGAACCGGCGACCCTGCGGCCACCTGCTCTCTCCCAAAGATAAGCCACAAACCCGATCTGTGAGAAGAGTTCGTCTTTGCCTTCCTTGGCAGCTCCTTTCATTGTTAGCGAGGAAAAAAGAACAAAAAAGAAGCTGTCAACTTTTCCTGTATTTGGGTTTCCTGGTCGCTCCCGGCGGGAACGTGGAGGCCGTGCGGTGAAATAAATTGTTTTCTGGCTCAGGAAGTGTTTCCCCCAGCTTCAGTTTGGCTCACTGTGGGAACAACACAGCGGCGGTGTTTGGAGGCTAAACTCCCCCCTGCCCCTCCCTGCTTAATACAATAAGCTGTAATTTACACCGCTATTACCTCCAGAGAGAGGCCTGTTGTACGGCCCTCGTCCCTAGCGGAAAGACACCCATTATGCTAGCTGTTACAAAGCCAACGTTGATCACGATGGCTCAAACTGGGGGAGGGACGATACTCTTTCTCAGAGGGGGGGGGCGCCGTATCAGCCAACTGAGAAAAATCACATTTAAAGTTCACAATGCAGAGGTATTTACTGGAAAAGTCCCGAAGCCTGAGGGGTCTCCTCAGTGCTTCGTTTTGTGTGCCCGCGGACTACATATGTGTGTGTCCGTGTGTGTGTGTGTGTGCGCGAGCGACAGGGGGAGCGGTGTAATTTCGAGCGCTCTGTGTAACTGGAGCAACCACATGCCCCATTACAGCCCTGTTCTGTTTGCTCCCAGGCTTGTAATTGCAGCGTAACCGCAAATGATAAATGCTGTTCCAGGTGTGTGTGTGAGGGAAAGACGTCAGAGGACACAATGTCTTTCACCTTTTTTGTCTCTCTGAACTGTGGGGGAAGTAAACAGTCATCTTAAAAGTGTCTCCTAAGACAGTGTGTGTTGTTCAAATCAAACGCAATTAGACATCAGACAGAGACATATTTTGTGTCTGCAGGCGGTTAAAGGCTGAAGCCAAGAACGTTTCTTAGCTGTCAAATGCAAACTGCATGAAATCTACTGTGTCTGATTCGAGGCGAGTCGATTCATTTTGAAAATGTACCTTTCGGAGCCTTTGTAAGGGGCAGAACTCATTTCGACAAATAACATTCTTATTTTAATAGCACTTTTCGGTCGCAATTGGGGACCAGTGACCTATTTATTCAATAAACTGCCTTTGATACATTTTATAATGGACCAATAGGTTAGGTTAAACTAGGCTAGGTTAAACATTTTTGTATTTTAGTAGCATAAAAAATCCTGTTCATTTTGAAGATTTTTTTAAACAATGTCTTGTTTACGATTTAATATGTATGTATGTATTTTATGTGTATGTATGTATTTGGATGATTACACCCAAATACATAAAACATGTGTTTGTCCCTTTGCCTGTAGTGATATTCATCCAACTGTATTGTTTTGCTCTGTGAGATTCATCCTCTTTAAAATAAGTGGACTAGGATTTCAGAAACAGAAATAGAAATCACTCTTTAGATCGCTATGACAACGGGCCAAGGCCAAAGGAAACTTCTAGGTCCTCGAAAAGTATTTGAGGGACCAAAGTGAACAGGAACGTCTGACTTCAGTAACGTGGAGAAACATTGAAAAACAACAGAAGGTCAAACAGTGAAGATCAACGTTAATATTTATTTCACTACTGGAGGTGTTTGGGAGACTTGATCATTATAATTTAGTGGCCATAACCCCCCCTCCTCTTTGAGATGGTTATAACGTGCCCCTCCATCTTTCAGGTGCTCTTCTCCCGACTTGCCTCTCCGCATGTCAACATCCGGCTGGACTCGAGACCCGTCTCCGCTGCCGTGGCGCTGCTGGAGGCCGACGGCTCAGACGGCGCCCTGCTGATGGCGACTGGGAACAAGGTGGGTAACCACGGAGACAAGACAAAAATATGTCCCGGTTCTGCCACCAAAGCCGTCTCTCTGAGGGGGGACACTTCTCACGTCCTCTTCCCCCTGCAGATCACTCGCGTCCCTCTGATTGGCCCCGGCTGTGGTCAGCTGACCACCTGCACTTCCTGTTTGCTGTCATCGCGGGTCACCGAATGCGGCTGGTGCGACGGACGCTGCAGCAGAGCCGACCGGTGCCCCCCCCCCTCCGTCTGGACCCAGGACTACTGCCCACCTGTCATCACCAAGGTAACCGCAGCCGCATCTGTGCTTAAATTAGCATAAATTACCGTCCCATGAAATTAAGTCAGGATGTCAACTATTGAAAATACAATATGGGAAATACCACAGGCAACAACATGGTCAGTAATTAGCTGGTGACGTTTCACCAGCACTGTACTGAAGACTTTGTGTGAGACCTTGAGTTGTGTGTGTGTGTGCGTGCGTCAGGTGTTCCCGACCTCCGGGCCGATTCGCGGCTCCACGGCGGTCACCGTGTGTGGTGGCGGCTTCGGCTTCGACAAGACGGAGAGCTTCAGGCCCTACATGGTGACGGTGGAGGTGGCCGGAGCTCCCTGCAGGCTGCCCCGACAGGACAACATCAACAGGTGTGTGTGTGTGTGTGTGTGTGTGTGTGTGTGTGTTTGTGTGTGTTTTCCTCTCCCACCTCCTGCTAGACGCACCTTTGTTTGGTGGAAAGTCTGGAGGCAGAGACGCAGCGGGCCCTTACGAGATAAAGACCCGTACGCGGGCGTCTTATAGGGGCCGAGCAGCAGTTTAATAGGGGGGCTATTGTGTAGAGGTAAAAAAGATGACCCCCCCCACTCTCACTCTCCCTTTCCTCTCCCTTTCCCTCTCTCCTTCTCAACACATGACTCGCCTAACTAATAAATTGCTGGGAAAAATGGCTGCCTTCAGACTTTCCACCGGGCCGTGTCTCATTCAAAAGGGCCTTTTGCTACAAACAATGTTGTTACAAATTGAAAAAAAGAAGGACAGGCTCTTTGTGCAGCGCTGGATCATTGAATTAGGGCTAAATGCCGGGTGGCTGCGGTGGAGGATAACGTGTGGTCTGTGCCTTGTCTGGTTGGGGGGGGTTGTGTCTAGGTGGACTGTGATTCAGTGTTCCCCAGTGTTCAGCGGGAACTTCACCCCGTCAGGACACACCGTGAAGGTCACCAGCGGCCAGAAGGTCGCCACAGCGGAGGGCTTCACCTTCGTGGTAAGAACACGAGTTCAGCGGGAAAAGATGTCACGCGTGTGCAAAGCGCCAGTTTCTGAGCGTTGGTCGGGGTCGTTGACACTGTCTCTGCGTCCAGGACCCCGTGATTCACGAAATCTTCCCGACATTCGGGCCGAAGTCGGGGGGCACCATGCTGACCATCAGGGGGGCCTTCCTGGACACGGGGAGCAAGCGGGAGGTGACAATCGGGAAAGGGGCCTGTAAGATCCTGAGGTTGGTTCAAAGTTGCTCTCTCTGCATTCATAAATACTGTGATGCATTCATCTTCGTACTTCTTTCATAGAAAAAAACATGATCGGCCGACGTGTTGAGCTTTAAAACTCACAGCCGGCCTCCAGGGGGGCAATCCAGATGTTTTGGCTGAATTCATTCATTAAAATCTGATGGAGTTCTTTCTGTATTCTTTAAAAATGTCAAGTATTTTTAAGATAAAGTGCTGTTGACGTTGTACAGTGCTTCCATTCTCTAACAGTCACCAGAATGCAGGAAGCAACGTCCAACAAAGGGCCCCTGAACTTTTCCAAATCCTTCCTTTTTTTTGACGTTGCGAAGTTGGCAAGTTTGACAAGTTGGACAATACAGTCCGTGCTCACTCTGCAGAGGCATTGTGTTTGTCCAACGCGCTGCAATGTGTCTCGACATTACTGTCACTTTACTGGGAACATTTGTTCCTGCGAGCTGGAGGTCGAAGCCGGTCAAAGGTCGCTCTTTCATTGTGTTCCTCATGCTGTCTCCTCTCCCCCTCAATTGGGAATTATCTGCAGGACTAATGCAATGAATGAATGGAGAACAATGGCTACCACTGTAAATGATAACACAACAACATATCCTGTGTGTTTACCCCCCCGCCCCCTCCACCACCATCAGCCTGTCGTCCACCATGCTGACCTGCAAGACGCCTTCCCACGCCGACACCGCCCCCTCCAAGCAGACAGTGAAGCTGACGGTGGACTCGGTGGAGCGCCTGGCGCCAGCGCCGTTCACCTTCAACCCAAACCCCATCGTCAACAGCATCCAGCCCTCGCGCTCCTTCGTCAGGTGCGTTATGGTGTCTCTGCAGTAGGATAGATGGAAAACGAAGGATTCCTTTGCCTTTAGCTTCGTGCATCTGAGAGCTAACACTGTGGGAGCAAAGGTCATCAATCAAGCTCAGGCTTCATGGGTCAAACGTGTATTTACCCTGCGGGAAATCGAAAGTCGAGGTTAAGCCTGATCATTTTTTCTTTGGATTGATACTGCAGATAATCCAAAGAAAAGGTTCCCACATAATTATCACTTTTTTATTTCCTCGGGCGAATCCTTGCTGGGTGGGAAGCATCTTTCAGCACTTTCATTCTCCTGGTTGGCGCGGTGGCCTGATTCTCTCAGAAATGGTTTGGATATCAGAATCTGTCAAAGTCAGGAATACATTTCCTTCCAGTATGAGAGACAGAGAGAGATTCATGCTTCAGTTTTTCCAGCAGGAGGAAACGAGTAGGAGGTGACGAGTGGCTAAGCTGCAAATGCTAACAGCAGGTCCCTCCCAGTGGGGATCTACTGTGTCTGTCTGATGCTAACGCTCGTACCCCCCCGCCCCCCCTGCAGCGGAGGATGCACGGTGTCAGCTCACGGGTCCTTCCTCCAGTCCGGCCTCCAGCCCCAGATGGTCCTCACCACGGGTCAGGATGCTGAGGTCTTCCATGTGGTGAGTACAAGAAGGGTGTCACATCCCGAAATATGAAGCAAAGAAAGCTTCTTCTCCAGAGTAGACCTAAGATTTGATTTATTAATTAACCTTTCAGCTCTTAGAATAAACTGAAGCTACCAGGAGCGTCTGAGAGAGATGCGGCTTTAGTTTCTGTGTTCCCACATATTTCTTTTTCAAACAGAACCCTTTAAGAATATGACATGTTGAAAAGCAGGCAAATACCTTGCTATCACATGCATGGTATTGTCATTAAACACACTAAAGCCCCCTCCAAAAAGGGTTAGACATCCAGAAGAAACAGAGCCAAAGTGTCAGACAGACTGGAAATGGAAAAGCCATCCTGAAGCATCCAGCTGTCTCTCCTCTGGCTCACGCACGGTAGCCGAGGCCCGGAGGACGCTTTGGATCTCCTCACACTTTATTCCACATGACCCGACGCCCGCAGGCCGTCAAACACCTAGTTTAAATGTTTTAAAGCCTTGAGAAGACGGCGGATGTGTGAACTGTCATGCAGTAAAAAACATGTAAAGGTTCCGTCAGCGCTTATATAGAATATTTCAGTCATTCTAGTCGACTGTTTAACTCAATAAGTCGCTGACTTGCCTCATTGTGTGAGACTGCCGCATTGAGCAAAAATGTGTTTGTTATTTCTTCTTGTTTTTGTTTTTTTGTGTTAATTGACGTGGGCGCCGTCGTGTCTTCAGGCCTTTTACATCAAACTATTCATACCGCCGGCAACGCAAATTTGCATTTGTGACACTTTTTCAAACAAAGGTTTGAATAATTTCTGCAGTCAGGGGGCCGGATACCAGAATCCTTTTAACCCACATCAGTGTCTGAGGTAAAGTTATACGTACATTTGGACCTCCACTTCCTCACAGACATGAGAAAGAAAGCTATATTCCTTTGGACATCCTCTGGGCTTTTCTACCAAAGTTTCCCGCCTTAAAAGAAGCTGAAGTAATCGCACTGACCTGAGAACCCTCAATGGGACGTCTTTGACCTGCATCCACCCTCAGGCCCCCCCCCCCCCAATAGCCGTCTCTCAGCTTCAGTTTCATGGTAGTTGCTGCTGGAGTGATTCTCCGTCCTTTAAAGAAAGCGGATTGACGCAACACTTTGTTTATCAGCTGAGTTCCCCCAGTAGACTAAAGGAGTTTAACCTCTCATCAAGTCCTGCCTCACATCGCCTGAGGGGGGGGGGGCTTTTAAAAGTGCCCTTGGTAGATTGAGGACTTGATTGAGGACTGATTAAAAGTCTGTTCTCTCAGAGTGAAGGTCGCTGCCGCAGGTTCACTCAGCAGATCATAACAGGCTCAGTAAATATGCACACACACCGAATGCGCACACACACCGCAGGGTCTGTGTCTGTTTCACACACACAGACCCTGCGGGGTCCCCCCCCCTCTGGTCATTGACCTGTGTCGGGGTCAGCGGTCGATGAGTCTCTGGGGAGCTCGGGCTTCGTTACGCTCAAACGTGCGTGAGCCTGAAATCAGGTTTATGATCCAAAAATTGCCGCTTTTGACCGAAACAATGTGAGACCGGCATGGGCCGGGCTCACTTCTGGCTGCGTGTAGAACTGCACAGTTATTCAAACATTAATCACGATTTCCATCTGACACAAACAAATCATTGCGTTTGACAAATAAAATGATCTTTAAAAGTAATTAAGAAAGTTTTGTCGCCATCATTATGTTTTGATGCAAAGACATTAGCAGGCTTTAATAAATATCCTGCCCTTCAAAATCAATGAATAGTCCTGATAAATAATTGCCTGCGAAAGTGTGACGTTTGTTTGTCGGTTTAACGCTGTTGCTATGGTTACCTGCCTTTTAACATACTTTGCCCACTGAGTCAGATCACCGGTCAACGGACCAGAGCAGCGTTCATTAGACTTTTTATAAAGATAGACTTCTCTAAAAAAAGATAGAAAAATAGTATTATCATTATTATGATAAACATTATTATCTTTATGTTTTTGATGCCTTGCTTGAAGGCTCCAGGGTTCAATTCTCTGAGCAGTGGCCCCCGGTGCGGCAGCACTGCACAGTTCACACTAACGCTCTCCGGTGAGATGTGACGAGCTGGTTTATTAATGTTTAAACTGGAACGACACGACGGAGAGGAACACAAACTCCTGGCTATCTGAGAAAAGAGGGAGAGAGGCTGAAGCTGTGCGAGATAAAGCTATCGCTGCTAATGATTTAGGGTGGGATCATGCCCCGTCGGGCCCCAGCTGTCGCCCGTTACATTCCTTCCAGTGGAAGGGGATGAGCTGAAGCTCAGTCTTTTGGGAAGGGACAGTATGAGTGTCTTATTGTCTTAACCCCTCAAAAATAGAGGAAAAGGATCTCTCGCAGAGGTTTCCATCCAGCGGCGGAACGGCACCCTGGGTAATGTGAGCCGGCGTCTCTGTGAACCCTAAAACTACGATCTGCGGTCCAGTCGGACGTTCGGGGGTCTCAGTCAGGGTCTGAGCGTGAAAAAAAAAAAGAAAGAAACAACAACCAGCAGCGTTGACTTGATATCTGCTGCTCAGATCTCCAGTAAAGCCCGGTCTCAGCCAACCGCAGCTTTCCCACACACATGAAAGAGGGGCTTATTTTACGACCCGCCGTGAAAGGCTGGCGTGTTCACGGGGGGAGCTGCACATACATACATACAAGAGGAAAAGAAGACCCTACAGTTGGCACCTGAACCCCTAAAGAAGCTTCTTCCCGTTCCCTTTTTTCTGTGACTGGAAGCGAGCGGGTAACATTTTGTGTGTGTGTGTGTGTGTGTGTGACAACAAAGATGCCCCACATCTATTTTCCTCCACACGGCTCTTAACATGGCGGCAGCAGCAGCGGCGGCTAGCGGCTAGCGGTGCTGACAGCGCTAACGGTGTTTAGCCTATCAGCGGTCTCCTCGCTGTGAGATTTGTGTTTGCTCGTTGAAGCACAGAGTCATTATGAAAGGACAGAAGAGGAAGCAAAGCACACCATGTTAACTTGCAAAAGAAGAACGGGTGAAATGTAGACCTCAAAACGAAGACAACGAGCAGCTGAACTGGAGGCCTTAAAGCCAAAGTCAAATCAACAGGAACAATAGGAAGCGTCGGAGCGAATGAATCTCGCTCCGTTTGACGGCATCGTTTGGACGCGGGCAGTTACACTAATGATCCTTCGGGTCCTTCAGAATCGCTGGTTCTCTCATCACCCCACAGCGTAAAACCCCCCCTCTGGCCCTCCGAGCGATTGTATTTACAGCTGCTGCCGACCTGCAGCCCCTCGGCCCCCGATACCAGGAGACGTCTTCTGAACAATGAAACTGATGGATTTTTCCACTAATTCACAGGATATTTTTCCTTTTTCGCTGCACCCGTGGAAGACTAGGTGGGGGGGAATGAGGGGGCGGGGGTATGGCGTTATATTTGTGCCACAATCCTGAGCGCGTAATTTTAAGTTTTGAGCACAGAGAACTATATTTTAGCAAAGAAAAACATATTCCGTGCGCGCAGTTTAGTCAGGTGCCCTCGCCACAAACTGGTTTTCTGCGCGCAGGCAGCCGTTGCTGCGCTCTCTCCACCTCTTCACGCTGCGCTCGCTCGACTTGCAGCAGCGTTACATTTGTGCCACAAAACCAACCAATCAGAGAATTAAAGAAGGTCCATTGTGATTGGCTGTTGGTCTCCAATCACAACGCTAGTAGAACTACCTACAGCATCGCGGAAGCTCAGCGAGTTGTTGAAGTTTGCAGCATTTGTGCTAAATGCTAATGGCCTGGATTAAAACACTTGCTGTTCTCATCATTTGCTTCGGTCATGTCTGATGGTGGCTGGCCGGACTTCTAATATCACTCGTTTTCGTCTTCTTTAGGAAGCGTTGTGATTGGAGACCAACAGCCAATCGCAATGGACCTTCTTTAATTCTCTGATTGGTTGGTTTTGTGGCACAAATGTAACGCTGCTGCAAGTCGAGCGAGCGCAGCGTGAAGAGGTGGAGCGAGCGCAGCAACGGCTGCCTGCGCGCAGAAAACCAGTTTGTGGAGAGGGCACCTCAGTAAACTGCGCGCACGGAATGTTTTTCTTTGCTACAACATAGTTCTCTGTGCTCAAAACTTAAAATTACGCGCTCAGGATTGTGGCACAAATATAACGCCATACGGGGGGGGGCTACAGTCCACGCTGCACTCGCTCCATGCTGGTGTGTAGGGATTAATTGGATTGCTTTTGTTGGGTGACCCTCACGTGGTTCAGCGTGCATGTGGACGTTTGAAATGCGTGGAGGGAGGGTGGATGCGATGGGGGTGGTTAGGAAGTGTGCAACAGAGCTGCTGCTTACGGAGGCGGAGCTCGATTTCAACCGGTTGGTTGAGCTTCTGTTGGTTTCCAGACATTAGTCCAAGTTTTAAATATTTAAAGACAACTGTGTGTTACACAGCTTCTTTATTTCTTTTTCAAAACTATTCCACAAATGTTTCGTCCTTGGTCCCACTCAAGGACACGTCTACCCTTGTAGCACAAAGGCCGGCCTGACACGGCGCAAACATCAGCATCGATCTGTCGACACGCGGATAAACAAGTCGGGTTTGTTCTGTTCTGCCGGAACGTCGCACACTTCTGATAACGGCTCTGGGTAATGAATGAAACCACAACCCGACGAGGGAAAAACATCCTCCTTTTAATTTGAAATCGATTATTTATATAATTATTTATTTTATATCTGTTTTTCAGCTTAATTATATTACCGGGCCGATTAAAATCTTAAAGCAAACACACCAGTTTAGATATCTTCCATAAAGCAAAGAGATGATACACTGCCACGCCTCAATGGAAACCAACTGAGAGACGGTTTCTGTCTCTCACCAGCTCTTAGCGAGCGAAAAAGCCGCCGGGGCCGACATGGGTTGATTCCAACCCGGGATCAGACCCTGTTGTGCCCTCGGGCCGTGCGTATAAACACTGTTGTTGCTAAGAAAAAGGGAAACAGGCGGCTTCTCGGGCTGATGTTCAGGTTTGGCGGTATGTCTTTATGCATGAACGTGTGTGCAGAAGAGCTGGTTTTTACTCCCTCAAGGAACTGACTTTATGTACAATATGTGTTCATATACGGTTGAAATCATGTGACTGTTCGTGCGTTCCCTGAATAGACGTTTCATCTCTTGAACCCTGCATCTTGTCCTCCCCCCTGTTCTCCTTCTAGAGCTGCGTGTACGGGGAGAACCGCACGTCCATCCAGTGCACCACGCCCTCCCTGGCCAAACTGGCTCTGCAGCCGCCCGTGGTCACCAAGGTGGCGTTTGTCTTGGACGGCTACTACACCAGTCAGCGGGATCTGATCTACGTGGAGGACCCCCTCTTCCAGGACCCCAAGCTCACCTCCAAGGACAACAAGAGCATCGTGGAGCTCAAGGTGAGGAGTTACGAGGTGCAAAAGTTAACAGCTGCCAAAAGGCCCAGTTCTCACTTGACACAAGTCCCGCCTCTCGTCAGGGTTCATTGTTGATACTTGAGACATGGACCAAAAGATCCAAAAGGAAAAGGTGCAGATGGAGTATATGTCTGCATTTTAGTTAGCAGGTCCGGGTCGGATCTGGAAGGAAACAATACTGAAGCAAAAACAGGAAGTGGAGTCTGTTTCCCATCGTTTACCCCCCCCTTCTGCTACACCTCGCTATGTATTCTCTCCGTTGACTGGCATTGTTCTGCCGGCCCGAGGTCAAAGCTTTTGACATATTAACGCCACCGCGGACATTCCCCCGGGCCTGTTTCCAGCGACACAATGAAAAACATGTTTCTACTCTTTTCTTTCTTTCTCCTTTTCTCTGTTGGCTTGGTGGCAGCTGCAGTTCTGCCTTTTTCTTCTTTTTCTCTTTTCCCAGACATGACCTTGGCCCCGGTGCTAAATCCAACCAGTGACCCTTCCTCTATCCCCCGCCCCGTCCCAGACAAACACCCCCCCACCCCAACGTTTTTACCCCCGGATGGGAGGGGGGGTCGTGGGGGTCGTGGGGCTCGGTACCAGGCATGGAACCCAAACAGGCCACGTCTAACTCCGCCTGATAACCTCCAGTATAAAAGGGCGCCTGATAACCTGAGGCCCAAAAGACTCGCCAACGGAACACAAATAAAGGAGCGTTGGGCCGTGACATCAAAGAGAAGCGGGCTGTTGGTTTTGGCACGGGGCCACGCTCGATAACATCGCGACACAGCCTGCGCCTCGCTTCCATTTATCGTCGTAACAATGTATTCGGAGCGACTGTGACGGCTCTTCGATAACTTCAACAACTCCTCTCCGCTGTATCGTCACGGCGACAGCCCGAACGAGGTCTGCATCACAGGATCTGTTTCGCGGTGTTGTCGTAGTGTGCGTCCCTAATTGCAAGCAAGTGAATTAGTGGTCTGTGTTGCTGCAGTCGGTGTGTGTGTGTGTTTGTGTGTGTGTGTTGACAGAGTGTGAGATAGAGAGAGTGCAGGAACAGGTGCGAGCGTCCACTCTGTGTCAGATATGGAAAATCCCCAGGCTGTCACGCAAGGAATGTGATCGTTCGCTTTATTGCCTCTGCTGCACTCAGACAAGTGTGTTTATGTGAGAGAGAAAGAGGGAGAAAAAGGGAGAGAGATTGAGAGAGAGACATGGCATCAGAGGAACAAAAAAAGCGAGCGGGAATGAAAAACAAGGGGGTGAAAAACGAGTCTGAGAGTGGGGAGAAAAGAGAGCGAGTTGTTCTCTGACAATCGCTGTGTGTGCTTCGGTCAGATCACAAGGGGGAGTGGAGGGGGAGTGGGGAGGGGGTTGGGGGGGTTGCGTCCTGCGCGAGCCACGAGGTCGCTGATGAAACGTGCCTTCAGACCGTAGAACTCACATCATTTTGTTAGCATGCCCCCGTTCCACTCACCGGCCTCCTAAGAAAGCCCTATAGTTTAAAAGCTGCAAAAAAGAAACCTTTGAAGACATTACATATAATATGGATCTTACAGCTCTATCGTAACGCTACTACGAGGAATCTTTTCATGTGCAGAGTGGATCAGTTGTGGTTCCTCCCTTCCCTGCAGCAGGGTTCCAGCAATAACTGCATTGACGCAGACGATCTCCTCTCCGGTGGAGTTTGCTTATGTAGGTCGCATGAAGGCATTGACGGTAAATCGGGGCCGTTTCTTGTAGTGACTTTAAATAGAGTTGTTCTACATTACAGGGACCCACAGCTGACAGCGCTTCCCCTGAAGATGCTCTCATTCTGCTACTCTTCCGTGTTCCCAAACTGTCCACTGTTTCATGTCACAGAGTCGCAGTTTGTGTGGACGCTTCTTGCCCCTGATCCTTCCAGCAGGCATTGAACACACCTTTACCTGACAGCAGAGTAAAGAGCTTTAAGGCTTATGGTTTTTCAAGGCTAGAAATGTCATTTTGCACTTTTTACAGTTAGTCACAACTTAATTTGAGATATGAAAGATTTAGTTGGTTCCATCTGGTGACCGGGCAGCAGGCTGCAGGCCTGAAAAGTGGAGCCAGCACTAGAATGCCTTAAAACCTGAATCCGCCCTTCTGACCAGCAGGGCGTGAGTCTAGGAGAAATATGTACCACTATTTCCCTCCTGATTTATTCCCTCAGTAAACATTGTAAACATGTGTTTATGGTCTCAGTTTCTAGTTTAAAGTCTTCCTAAATACAGCATGATGTTCATTTAGTAAATTATGGTCAATTTAGATTGAAATACCCCATGAAGCAGGGTGTGCTTTATGGTGGGGCTTACTGTGATTGACAGGTTGCTATAACAACGTTTTCTCGGTCCAGGAGATTTCCATATTTTTTTTGTCACTGTCCAAGTATACAGTTAATGGTCTGGACTCTGACCTTTGATCTTAGCAACAGTAGCTTGACCTCAATTCTTTTGCAACATTTGACCTCATTTCTCCCTCCTTTCTTTGTCCCTCTGTATCTCATCTTTCCCTTGTGCTTTCGCCCCCGCCCCCTCTCTCTGCCACGCAGGGTCACCACATGGACAGGGAGGCCATGAAGTGTCAGGTCCTCACGGTCTCCAACCACAGCTGTGAGAGTCTGACTCTGAGTGGGAACACTCTGGAGTGCATCGTCCCCACCGAGCTGCAGGCCGACACCTCCAAGGAGCTGCAGGTGGAGGTGAGCCCCCCGAGAGGGAATGTGCTTCTCACAGCAGAAAGGCTCTTTTGCTCTTCAGCAGCAACTCGTAAATGTTTCTACCTCACTTTTTATACTTTTTTAGTGTTTGTTGTGTGTGTGTGTGTGTGTGTGTGTGTGGTCCATCAGATTCATTTAATTTAATGTCGGTAGATTGGCTCACCCTTTGCAGTATGTAAACAGGTTTCTTCTGCAAAGATTGAGTGAGTGATTTGACCTTTGACCTTTCCCCTGCTATGAATCGGGTTTCTCTTTTTAGGGAATAGCAACATGTTGAGATCTTTCCGACCTTCACGTGTTTCAATCGTTTAATCCACAGGCTCCTTTGTCTTACAGTTCAAAAGCGCTGGAAAATGAATACATTTTTACATAATTATTGTTTCCTCTTCACCTGCTTTGTCTTCAACATGTTGGTCATGTGACGAAACTTTTTAAAAGAAGATTGTTCTCACTCCGATCCAGAAGTCTCCTTCAGGAGCTCCGACATCCACCAAACCTTACAGCTTAATTTCTCTCCAAATTCTGGAGGTCAACGTTTATTGCTCAAATCACTGAGGAAATTGTTTTTATATGGCTGTTGACAGTTATTAGGTGCGACATGGGATTTTGATCTCCGGTTTATGCCGCGTTCAGACTTTTGTTCTGGAAAAGTATCCAAATAAGCTCACATTCTAAAAGATAATATTGCTAATGTTTAGCGAGGAAAAGAGGAACGCTTTTTGATGTCCAAACAAGATGTTCCGTTTCAAACATCTGCTCTCAGACCAGCACAGCAGCAGAGAGCAATAAATCCACTTGTAGTGCTTTCATGTAAAATGTCTGTATTAACAGGCTCTCAGGAGGAATTTTAGCAATAAAATGTAGCGGATCAAATGTGAGGAGGATGAGGCCGCGAGGCGGAACTCCCAGGGAGGACACACCTGGATATTCCTGGTGTATTTTGGTTTAACTTGGTTAGAAATCAAGCTTCCGGTTTTCGTTCAAAGTATTTCCCTATTTTCCGTTCCCGGGTGGACGATAATAAAAGAGAAAGCGCAGACAGGCTTTACTGCTCGCGGTCCTTCTGCTGTCGGCCGAATCGGACTCTGGGAAAATTCATGTGCAACGCCACATTCCTCCGACTTCAATCACCCTCCTGTCCTAATGGAGTATTTTATAGAGAGTTTATTAGACAATGTGCCGAGTGAAAGGGCTCAGCGTCCAGCTGTCTTGTCGCTTGAACATAATTCATGAGAAGGAAGTGGTACAGTTCAGAAATGTCTGCGCAACCGAACCCCGCAGTGTTTATTAACGAGGCTTGAGACGCGACCGACGTTCAGCACCTGGGGCTCTGTGACAGACATCCGGGGTCTTGGAGCCCGGGTTCTAGTCTTCAGAGACCCGGATTAATCCAAAAACCTGACGCGGTGTTGTCGAGTCTTTTTCTACAAAGGCAAATCTGAGCGAGAGCTCAAGGCTTCTGAAGCATACGATTCATCAATGGAACCTTCACCAAAATATGTGAAGATTAACCATCATGCCCTCAACACACTTACAATTAAAAGTTGTGTTTATTTAAGAATTAAAGTAACTTATAAACCCCTTAAAATCTTGATTTTATTGCCCTTTAGTGCGGGGTGTGGTTAAAGATGCGTCTCAAAGCCTATAGTTTAGTCTGTAAATATATATATGAATATGAATGTATATATAACAATACAACTTTTCAACCAACTCCCACTGGGTCGTAAGAGCCTTTGATAAGAGACGCATCAAACTTTTGCGACGCTGCCATGACATCCAGGGGGCGGAGCTTATCAGCCTCGTCTTTGTTGACTTGTGAACTGTGGCCTGTATCTCTAGGAGATGGTGTGCCAATATCCCTGAGCTCCAGACACGCGCACACACACACACACACACATTGTCCCATCTGCAGCAGCAGAAACCTAATTTCCACTAAACCTAATAATCGCTGGAGCAATATCGCTGATGTAATCTTCCTCCAGACTGTGGAAACGGCCCGTGTGTGTGTGTGTGTGTGTGTGTACGTGGGTGTGTGTGTCTTCTTTACATGCCATGTGTTACTGTCCGTACGTAGTCGCTCCTTTTGGGGCCGACACACATGTGAATCGTCCCCAACTCTTCGGTGGTTGACCTCTGACCCTCCCTCTCGAACCCCCCCCTTTTTCAGTGGCGCCAGGCGGATTCCATCCGGCACCTGGGAAAGGTGACGCTGGCTCAGGAGCCGGACTACACGGGCCTGGTGGTGGGCTGCGTGTGCGTCAGCCTGCTGCTGCTGCTGCTGGGCTCGCTGCTCATGTGGAGGAGGAACAAACACATCGACGGTGAGAGACCCCCGGGGGGGTCAAGTGGGGGTCAAAGGTCGAGCTTTGATCTCAGACAGCAACCGAGTGGCTTGTGATTTCACAGTCCCTTTTTGTAATGTTATCTGCTTGTGACATATCGTGTTCATGAGACTCTGCAGTGAGGTGGAGGTCAGAGAGGCAGCGACACAAAAAATTGATTTGTACGTATGATGTCCTACAAAAAGTCTTATCTCACCCCGTCTCCTTCCATCCTTTCCGTTCCTCCCTCTTCTTCTAGATCTGTCCGAGGTGTGGTACGATGGCCGTGGTCACATCCAGCATCTGGACCGGCTGGCCAACGCGAGGAGCGTCAGCCCCACCAACGAAATGGTCTCCCACGAGTCGGTCGACTATAGAACGACCCTGATAGAGGGTACGTCAAGCAGACAAGCCCCTCCCCCTACCCACCTGATATGGCCTTGTTCGCCACGCCACCCCCGTGGGTCTGAACGCTGTGCTGGTGGTGCATGCTATCACTGGTTCTCGACTAACAGCCACAGAGGAAATGTTTTATTTTTATGTATAGCATAGACCCATAACCCTAAATAACTTTTAAAGTATTTTTCACTTAAGTTTTACATTTTTTAAGTTTTTTTTTTTGTATAAATACATTTTTTAACTTTATCGTTGTTGTTTTTTAGTTTTAAGGTTTATTATGTTTATGTTTATAGGTTTACGTTTTTTTACTTAGTATTTTAGTTACCACCGGCCCGCTGCCATAAGAACTCATTGAGCACACTAGTGTTTTGACCATGCAAAAAAAAAAAGTTAAAAAAAAGTAAAAAAAACTTTCCAGACTTTGATGTCCTCCTAACAGAGTCTGTGGTTTCAGTTTCATAAAGTGGAGCAATTTCCCTGTGTCTAAAAAGTGCCCCGTAAGGCTTAAACTCCATAGTGGATAGACTTACTAATAAACTAATGCTTGTCCTGGGGGGCGTCGGGGGTTAGGCTCCGTGTTCTACCTGAGCTCACCTTTATGTCCCCTTCTTTGGAAAACATGGTTAAATTCTTCCTCCCCCTTTTTTCCCTTTCTTCAGAAATCAGACACTTTGTTTTGTTGCCTCCCAGCCTCAAGTCGCCCCCCGCCTTTTGTAGCCGTTCTTTTCTGATTGCGTAACACACCTTGACCTATGGAGCCCCCCCACACACACACACACACACACACACACACGTGACCTTAACCATCCTCTCCATCGCTTTTCCAGATCCGGGTGGCGACCGGCCTGAGACGTGCCGAGGGGCTCCTCCCATCTACGGGGGCAACGGGGAGCTGCTGTCCCCCAGACTGCGGAGAATGGGGGGTGGGCTCAGCCTGGGGATGGAGGGCGAGCTGGTGTCCCCCCTGCTGATGGCCCCGGTCCACATTGACCCGTCCTGCCTCCACCCGGACCTGCTGACCGAGGTGCAGCACGTGGTCATCGCCAGGGAGCAGCTGCTGCTCCACCTCAACCAGGTCATCGGCAGAGGTGGGTCACAAAGAGGCTTCCACCCCCCACCCCTCACTGGGATGAGAAGTTTGTTTTTATCATCTTCTCTGTCTCTGCTCATAACACAAACGAGACGTTTGTTTCACCTGCATTTGCTGGCTAGACCAAACTGCTACTGACGGCTAATGTGCAAAATAAAGCAGCCTGGCAGATGTTAATTAGGTTTAAAATGTTCCAGTCAATACAAATCACAGTGCCAAAGCTTTAAAAGCCAGAACCAATGTCAGAATCGAGCTGGCATTAATCCAAGGGCTGCCGGTGCAAATATTATTCATTGCATGTGACTATGATGCTCCGCTATGGCTGAAGAATGCATTACAGGAGGGGGTTATTGCTTTGGATCTGCTTTATCACTATTTGTCCATTTTTACACATAACATTTATTGTAATACTTCAATTGCGACTTAATACTTTTTATGTAACAGTCTTTTCTGTTGAATCCAATACAACCAGCATCCTAAAAACTCTAAACTAGAGCTAATGAAAAGGAGCAGAAATAATAACATGAACATTATTCCTCTGCAAACTCTTATCTCAAGTGGAGTTGAGCTGAGATTATATATATATATATATATATATATATATATATATATATATATATATATATAAAGCTGTGCAAAAAATTGCCCACTGGGAGCTTAATTGCCTCCTTCATCGAAACCGCAAGAATCACCTGACCCACTGTGGGCGTTTGAGTAGGCGAGTCAGACCAGCAGATCAAATTCCACATCAAGAGGTGAAAGACCCCCGAATCCCCCCACCCAACAATTGGCTGAATTATCCCCTGAAGAAAAGAGCCTGGATTTCGGGGCAGTGGTGTAGGATGATTTGTTCACAGCTAGTATTCCCAGGCTCCATTATTGGGAGTTGTAATCCGACCCACTCAGACATTTATAAGGGGGGGGGGGGGGGGGGCGTGATAGGAGAACGCTGCGCTCATTTTAACCCCAAGTCCGGGGTGGAACCCTCACGACTTAAGAGATATAATTCAATAAAATGCACAATGATTTAATGGGGGTTTGGTATAGGCTAACACCCGCGTGGGGCTTTAATGAATAAAGCTCCATACTGGGTTACTTGGGGAGTGGGAGGGTGACGGTAACTTAAGATAATCAGAACTTTTTCTAACCATAAAAGCATCAGAAAAAGCTGCGTGCACAACATGAAATCCCCTCAAGGCTTCTGCTCTAAATATCGACTTCTTAACGGGAGATATTCATCTTCTTCTAATTTCTGGAAAAAAACTTCCACGAAGCCAACTGACAAGTTTTTAAACAGCTTCAACGTGCCAAGATGGAAATTGAATAGCGCTGGGTTCCGACACTGGTTTGGCTTAAGATGATGTGCAGACGGGTGATCTTTTTGGGGGGGGTGTAAGTCACCAGTGTCATCAGTCGGCCTCTGTTTGGGACGTTGTTGGTGTGATGTTCCTGTGGGGATCCCACCTTCGTCCTCCCGACTCACCTCTGTCTTTGTTGGGGGTGGATTCAGGGGGGGGGGGGGACTCTACGGGGTCTGAGTGGGCTGACGCTGACCAGTTGTGACTGACGCTTGGCGTTGTGATCCGCAGGTCACTTCGGTTGTGTTTTCCACGGAACGCTACTGGAGGCAGACGGGCAGAAGCAGCACTGTGCCGTCAAGTCCCTGAACCGTGAGTACAAACCCCGCTTTGCTGTGTGACCGTAAGGGAAGCCATGTTCTTGTAACGTCTAGTCATGAATTTCACTTCAACAAAAGTCTCCTGACGTCCCACTCAAAGAGACATTTAATGTTTATTCTTTTTTCCGAACACACAGACACACACACACTCTCAACAAACTCTCTCCTTGTCCAAACATATTGGCATCCAGCCGTAATCATCCTCCATCCTACATCTGCTTATGATGCGTATTTATTGTATGATATCATAACGATCCAATAGCATTAAGGAACTCATCTCATCAGAGCCCCCAGGTCCTCCTTGGGCAAGCTGATGGTGATGAATGAGCGTCCCAATGTGAGGACGGTATTAGGGTCCCCCCTAATTGTGTAACCTGTCAGTTGGATCCGGGGAGATTGATGCTGGAGTAATGTGGAGGAAAGCTTGAGGAGCCACCAAACCCAGCGGGATGGGATGAACTCGGCCTGCTGGGGTTTCGTCCTCTGGGATTTGGACCTTTTCTATTAAGTTTAGTGAATTCTCAGGGCGCCACGTCATAGTTCTTTTGTTATATTTCAGACCTTGAGTTGATGCTTTTGCCCTCATATATATTACTAAGACGATTTGCTGATAGCATAAGAGCCACAGATGCATTTGCAAGGATTAATCTATGAGATGACATCATTTTTAAACTTTTAGATGGAGGCTCTGAAATAAAACGTCATCTCTTTCTACCTTTCTTGGGGAGGAGGGGGGTCTAATCTTGGTTCAAGGCCAACCAGCTGGTTTCTCCAGACATAAAGAGCTTCCATCTATAACCACATTAGAGAAGAGTCAGTGGGGCTAAAGAGCGGCACATCAGGGGCAGGGATGCAATTGGCAAATGGGAGTTTTGGCGGGGGTCAGGTCTGGGGGAGGACATTTCTTTTGCTCGTTTACCGTACTTATCCTTCTTTTTGCTGAAGGTTTATGAGCAATGACCTTCATGCTGATGGCAGCGTAGCAGAGCTGCTCCTCCTACACCAGTAGAGACAAATCATCAAAGTGCTCACACTTCTTTCTCTTCTTTACATTTTTCATGAAGGCATCACCGATTTGGAAGAAGTATCCCAGTTCCTGAAGGAGGGGATCATCATGAAGGACTTCAGCCACCTAAACGTTCTCTCGCTTCTGGGAATCTGCCTGCCGCCTTCAGGCTCGCCGCTGGTGGTTCTGCCCTATATGAAGCACGGCGACCTGCGCAACTTCATCCGTGATGAAGGACACGTACGTACACAAGATAGACGCATGCACGGCGGGACTTTTGAGATGTTTGTACAAAAGTGCCGTGGAGAGTTAGCGGTAGTTTGTCTCCCGGTTGTCTCATGGTGGCTTTTACCAACAGAACCCAACAGTGAAGGACCTAATGGGCTTCGGGCTGCAGGTGGCCAGAGGGATGGAGTATCTAGCCAGCAAGAAGTTTGTCCACCGAGACCTAGCAGCCAGGAACTGCATGTGAGTTGTCATCTTTTTGTTTCATTAGTGCATTCAAGTACGAATATGACACGGTACTATAGATGAGACTAAAATAGAATTAACTCTCTGGAGCCCCAAACCCGTTGGCGGTATGAGAGAGCAAGATTTTATTTCAACAATTATGGTCCATTTAAAGACATATAGCCCACGAAGCAGGGTGAGCTTTAGGGCGGGCTTACTGTGATTGACAGGTTGCTGCTGCTACCAGAGCTGTACATATTCCAAATACAGTAACCTCCATTTGTTGGACCAACGGGTTACGGTTACGATGACTACTTCTTATATTCAGTGCGTTACAGTAGCTATAACAAACGTCGTAACCGTCACATTTTCATTTTTCCCGGCGGTCCTGGACCAAAACCAAAAAATGAGTTAACACTCCCCAACACTGCTGGGGAGGGAAGGGAACAGAAATACTGTAGGGGAGAAATGAATAATAAAATGTGCCCCGATAGGCTGGACGAGAGCTATACGGTGAAGGTGGCAGACTTCGGCCTGGCGAGAGACGTCTACGATAAAGAATACTACAGCGTCCACAACAAGAGCGGAGTCAAGCTGCCAGTCAAGTGGATGGCTCTGGAGAGTCTGCAGACACACAAGTTCACCCCCAAGTCGGATGTGGTGAGGGCTCTCTTCTTTTAGTTAAAAACAAAAAGGTAGGGAAAAGAAGAAGAAGAGTGGATGCGCTAACGTTCCTGTGTTTCCCTGTAGTGGTCGTTTGGCGTGTTGCTGTGGGAACTGATGACCCGCGGAGCTCCACCGTATTCGGATGTGAACTCCTTCGACATCACCGTGTTCCTGCTGCAGGGGAGGAGGCTGCTGCAGCCCGAGTTTTGCCCCGACGCACTGTGAGTGCCCTCGCACATACTCACACACTCTTACACCTGCCCCTAGAAGGCTCCAACAGGTAGCTGTTCAATATATACAGAAATGTGATGCCTCAAAGGCACTTTGTTAAAAATCCAATCCAATCAAATTTATCTCAACACCTGCAGACACAAATTGATTATATATATATATATATAATCAATTTATATATTATATATATACATAATCAATTTGTGTCTGCAGGTGTTGAGATGAATAGCTATCGGCTCTCTTCCTTTGTCACCATGGCAACTACAGGGCTCTCACGTTTTCAAGAAAACTTGGAGTGACATTTTTTCGGAGGTGGACGCTACGGTCGACGGGGGGGTCGTGCTGCAGACGCTGCGGTCGCCGTGGGGGGGGGGGGAGTACTCTCCGATTTCTTGGCGTGAGGAATTGGATGTGTGGCGGGAGTGCGTGACTACAGACCAAAATGAGTGACTATCACGCTCAATGCGTGACACTTGAGAGCCCTGCAACTAACAACAATCAAGATTATATGATTGAATCGGTTCACGGTCTGTTCTGCTCCCTTTTCTATTACTGTGGTTACCTTCTTTTTTCTTGACATCTACATCAACAGAGTTGAAGGTTTAATATTTACGATGTCACTGGTGAAACCAACCTGTCATGTCGGAAATAGTATCTTTTACGCCTATAAAATACCGCCACAAGTGCGACCCCAATGTTCTGAGGAATGCAAGCAGCAAAACACAGGGATTTGTTCCACAAAATATGACCCAACCAATCACAGGAAAGCATCCCGGTGTCCGTCCGTCCGTTAACCTCTGACCCCCCTTCCCAGTGGAAGGAATGCCAAGTGTGACCTCATGCCACCAGGTCCTCTGCATGTCTATAGTACAGCCTGAGTGCAGATTACAGGGGATTTCAGGTGAGGGAGGCAGAGGCCCAAAGATCCCAACCTGTAAGTTAAACAGAGACATAAAGGGGTGGGGGGGTGTCTGCACGTCTGCAAACATTCCTGCAATCCTTCAACCCAGATGGTTCACGGGGCGTCCCGGTGATAGCGGCCGCTGGCAGATACCTCGGACGTGTGGTAATGCAGCCATTCTTCTTTTCTAACAATGGAGACGGAGGCTCTGCCAAGTCGGAGGGGCGAAAGAAAATAATACTAACGGGAATACCGGAGATGTCAGAAAGAGTTCTGTTGATGGATTGTCCATGTGAGAGTTATCTTTGAGACACGTTGAAATAATAAAGACTTTACATGCACTACACCTGATTGGGAGGAATAACTTACAGCGTGTGTGAGGACTACTGTGGTGAAGTGAACTGTTAACGTCGATGGCACAACGATACCGTTACAAACGTTATGTTTTGGGGGTTCAAATTGTGGCTAATAGATGATTTATTGTTCTACTCTACAACGCTACAAGAGGAGCGAGGAGAAACAGAACTTTATGCTGCAACAGAGATGTAAAGACATTAAACTTTTCACTATTGAAATACCTCATAAAAATGTGACAAATCAGAAGACTTTTTCAAGCTTTTTCGGGTGGGGGTGAGACAAAGCATTTAAGTGAGTACAGGTGTATTCTGATGAACGGTATGAGAACAACTTTTAATTGTTAAGTCTATATAATAGTATAAAGTAGGTATAAAAAACAAGTTCTTTCCTTCCAGCTACACCGTGATGATCGAATGCTGGCATCCAAAGCCGGAGCGCCGACCTTCCTTCTCTGAGCTGGTGTCGAGCATCTCCGCCATCTTCTCCAGCTTCAGCGGGGAGCACTACGTCCTGCTCAACACCACCTACGTCAACATTGAGAAGATGAGCCCTTACCCGTCTCTCCTCACCTCCTCCGCCTCGCCCTCCGCCAGCAGCAACGCTTCCTACTCCTCTACGCCTTCCTCATCCGACCCCTCCACCTCCACGTCCCTGCCGACTCAGTCCCCCTTCTTTGGCCATGCGAAGCAGGAATGCTGCATCTGAGAGGCGAAAAGGTGGAGGTTGGGGGTGGAGAAAAGACTCTGATCATGTGAGAAAAGAGCAGAGAAGAAGGCAGTGAGGCGATGAGGAATCACTGTATGAACTTGGCAAACACTGGACACTGTATGCTGAGAAGCTTTGACCTTTCACTCATTGTACATAGACTGTCTGACCTTTTGACTTTCCCGAGCAGCACTAAAGACCGGGTCCATCGTGAACGACAGGCCCGACCTCGTCGACTTGGGGGCGGGTGCGAGTTCCGCTGCCGCCTCTTTCCCCCCCTCCCACACGACGCAGGAAAATGCCTCCCGGAAGATTCCCAGCGGACAGAAGCACAAGTCACAAAGAAACTCATCCAAAATGTTGAGCTCCTGCTCCTGTCTGGGTGGCACCGCACGCACCCTAAGCCTGACCTTTTTATTTTTGTAATGTGAATGTTTGATAAACGGGCGTGTATTGTGTCAGATGTCACGGCTCCTCCCGAAGCCGGCTTTGAGAGATGGCGGCACCCTGGGGTGAGCCCTCGGGGGCAGGGTAGGCGAGAAAAAAAAGCCAAACCTGCTGCGTGTGTGCAGTTCACTGGATGCTTGTGTAATTAGCTTTTGCTGTGCTTGAGGGGCCAAAATAACCCACCCCCCTGTGACCCCACATGTGAGGAGTTATTTTTTTATCTGAAACGTGCCATCATTTTCACGCACACATAAAACAACTTTTAGGTCTGGAGGAAATAACTTTTTTTTTACATCTGGACGCAAGGGTTTTCAACTCTAAAAGGAACCAAACTGCGTGTTTATGACGATGAAATATTTTCATGTCAACAGGCTGTAGAACGTGTGTTTGAATGTTTTTTGCTTTTTAACAAAAGCTTGTATAAAAGCTGCACTTTTGCTGACCGTTTTTTTAATAAGCATGCTGTACAGGTTTTACTCCCTTTCAGGCAGCCACTTACTTCCATTCATTTCTGTACATTATTAAAAATCTGTCCATAGGCCAACTTCCCTCTGATTCGCAGAGAGATTCATTCAAATGTGTAAAAATGTGTGTACTGGTGTTAATGATAACCGTGTAACATTGTATATTGATGTAACGTTAATAATACACATGTGAAATATGGTGTCAGTAATGCAGTTGCTATGGTTAGAGGCCTTATCTCAACCTCCCTGCACTTGTATTTTGAGTGTAATTACTTTGCCAAAACATAGACAAAATACTAAAAAAATAAATGATCAACTTAAAGATGAATTTTACAGTGACATCAGTTGAGGCATTTGATCCGATGTTGTGACTGAAATATAATACAATATAGGAAAAGGTTTGCTTCCTTCAGGTCTTTTTCTTTAAGTGAGGTATGATGATGGATTTCACAAGTCTGAACTCAATTTAAATCCAGATTTGAACGCTTTGTTGTGATGCAAATTAAACTTAATTTGACGCAAACGTGCTGAAACGTTCCAAATCCTCAAAGCCCCCTTTTGTGTCTGCTTTGCGTGGCGGATTTTTATTATATTATCTGAATGGCTGCTGATGTGACTGGGCCATTGACAGACAGATATGATTGTTTGCTATGACAAGAAAAATCGCTGTACTATATATTTTTGTATCGATGACGAGCCTCTGGTTTCTGGTGTGGATTTAAAGACCAGAGGGAGAAGTGATCGATGGACGTAGCCGCCTAATCAATCTTTTGTCTTCTTGAAGAACCATTGCCATCTTGTAAATAGAGAGAAGGGGTCGCGTTGGATCCGCGAGGGTATTTTGCATCTCGCTGATAATCACTTGATCATGTGACTCTCTGCCACTTTGTCTGTTCTCAACACTGTCTGTTGTGTGTGTATGAATTGTTGTACATAAGAAATCCTGAAGGTACATATGTAATGTCAAGTCAACCTTGTCAGTGTAATAAAGCTTTACTATCCTCTTCATGTCCTTTCTTTTTCGAGACAAAATCGTCGAACCTGGGTCCCTACATCATACTTTCCAAAATATATATATAGTTGCGTTGTGGATTGTAGACACGATCAAGCGCTAAACCTTTAAAAATAAAGGAAGAAGTCATCATTTAGACAAAAAGACGCAGCCATTTGTCCTTGCGGTGTGCAGACAAACACGTTGAGCCTTTGTGTCTGGCTTTTTGTTCACAGAAAGTCACCGTTCTTTTGTTCCCACTGGTTGGTGGTGACCTCTGACCCTTCACCTCTTGCTCCCCTCTCTCCTTCTGATCCGCTGCGGTCTAGACTTTCCTGCCTCCTTTCCTCTCTACTGCAGCTAACTGCAAACAGAACCACACAGAAGTTTCTGTAGCCTCCACCACACTTGAAATAGAGATTGAGTTTAAGGAGGAGAGCTAGTTAGCTGCTAGCTGAGTGCTGCGTTGTGTTGTGTTTGGCTAACGGAGCTAACCGCTAACTTGTGTGGTCGTTGCAGACACACCCGGCGGAGATCTGCACTCCACTTTTCTAGTGGCCGTGTTCTATTTTCTTCCTTTCCTTTATTTCAGATATTTTACTTATCTTCATGTGATGCCGGGAGGATTAAAACGCCCCAAAAGCTTTAAAAAAAAATGTTCTTCCACAGCTCAAGAGGTGAGAGAAACCGACACACAGGTGAGAAGGCTTTTCCTTCACAGCACAGACCACCGGTTGTAGTTTTTCTTCCACCTTGCTGAAGTATCTTCAGTTCGGGGAGTCACAGGGGGGATGGGGGATGGGACCGAGGGAAACACAAACACGCACCTCATACACCTGACATTACACACTTGCATGTGGACACACACACACATCTGCACATCGATGGAGAACAGCTTGACTTAACAATCGTTTTCAACGGGTAAAAGGTTGTTATGCTATTTGAAGTGATACGTTCACTATGTGACATTGTGATTTGTGGTAAATGGCCCGAAAACATCCTGACTCTGTTAAGAGTATCTTTGCAACACACAAGCATTCACACTCGCACTCACACACACACACACACAACCGTATCCTCCTGATAAAGCCTCTGACCGGCTGAGTCAACTCACCCTCATTAAAATTCTAATGAGTTTTGGTCTTTTACAAACTAGGGAGGAGGATGGTACCGGGTGGTGTAGTATACCCACCAGCCCCAAACACACACACACATACCTCTGATGCCTCCAGGCATCAGATATTCCATTGTGTAGTTTAAATCTCTCAGGATGAAGCTTTTACATCACACCATTGTGGGATGGTTGGCGCCCCCTATCGACTCATGCATTGTTCCTGCATCTTGGGAGAACTCTTCCCAACTGTATGTGTTTGGATAAAAGAATTAACAGGGGGACCACATGAAGGAGAAGTACTTTCACTTTGAAGTATTGTTGGGCCGCAGCTGCAGCAGTGAGTCATGGATTGGCTGCTGGCTCGTGGCACTTAATCGTTACGAAAGAATACACTTGGAAAGAAAGAACATAATTAAATTAAATGCAACATAAATGCATTTAACACATGGCAATTAAAAAAATCATTAAAAACGCAACGAGACCAAGAACAAGCAAATGAAGAAACAATAAAAAGTGAGAAATTAAATTTCTCCAGAAGTAGGGGTAGTTGATTTTAGGAGCATCTGCTTTGTTATTTTGTACGCTAGAATTTTTTTGCCTTTCCTTCTTTGTCTTTCTCCATGTGAGTTATTCACATGAGCAGCAAAATGACCATTACGTAAAATCAGCACCTCTGTGAACCATAAAAACATGTCACTGTGAGCTTAAATTTATGACCATTCAACTGAAGCACACGCAACTCTGTGTAAAGAGAACAATAAGAGAAACCCTCGAGCAGCAGAGGAGATTTATTGAGCCTGATTGTTTGTGTTTCAACATTATTGTGAATAACTCTGATGAAGCCAATGGATTTCCTCCATATACGTTGTTTTCAAAGACTTTTAGAGCCCTATAGTAAAAGCCGGAGACACAGCAGTGGATTACCAAAGAGTCAGTGCCCTGTTGGATGCCTTTCAGGAGGGCGACACTTTCTGCCCCATCGCATGCAGCTGGTGCACTTTTTGGCACTTTAATCGCTTTACGCCCTGAACTACAAAATGACCACAAGGAAACATACAATGATTACAGAAACACAAAAAGACTGAAAAGAGACCAAAAAAACTGACCACGGATTGGTTCCTCGCAAATACCCATTAAGCACCCAACATATTCCATAAGATGTAAATCACCAATGAGGGCTTTTATAAAGGCTTGGAGTAAGTCTTCCCTTCATTTTAAGTGTGAAAAGAAAAATCAGAGGAACCAGTGGTGAGGCTTGACCCTTTGACCCTGGCCGGTTCTCCCCATGTGATCTGGATGATGCAAAACATTCCAATTGGTGTCAATATTTCTGCGATCAGAAACATCGAGCTGATTGTGTTATTTTTTTTTATTTTGTGTTATTGGCCGTTGTGTTAAAACTCCACATGATTCCTGTGATTTCCCTCACGATGAATCATTAACATCTATCACGTTGGCACGCATTTATTTTTTCCTTGCTAGACACTATTCATCACACGGCAACCTGTTTTCTGGCGCCAACAAATCAAATGTGAGCTGCTTCTCATATATTTCTCCTTCAGCTGCAAGTTGTGTGTGAGCGTGAGGCCGAAAAACCCCATAATCCATTATGATGCTTTATGCTGAGCGCCTCTTATATTGACAGTGACGGACTTGCGACGTTCATTCCGGTCAGCGGGTCTTTGTGCACCCCCCCCCCCGCAGCATGTCCATCATCTTTACAGGCTTCTCCAATGTCATATTGACAGGTGAGAGGAGACGCTTAACACACATGGGAGAAACTCAGCGTCACACCAACTTTAATCTCCAAACGTAAACCTGAAATCTCCCAATTTCTTATTGGCTAACAAGTGTGATTTTGAGCCCCCCCAGAATAACTCCACGACCACTCAGACCAAAAAAATGTAATCGCTGTGAAAAGGGCCGATAATCAGGACTGGGAGTGCCGGCGTTCCGAAGAATTCCAGGGGAGTGTGATCACCGCCGGACTGGCGTTGAAAGCTCATATCTGTGGCTTAGCGAGGCACCGACGGCCCACAGGGCCGCGTGGAGGGTGGGAGGTGGATGTGGTATTCTTTTGTGGGTGAAGTTAAACTCCTTTTTTATATGCACACACACACGCGGTGACGAGAGGATCGTCAAAAGTAAACCAACAACGGGAGAATAAATCAGTAAATAACAAAAAGAAAACATCTACAGGGGATTCATCTAAATAAAAGAAAACCATTTCAACGCATCTTAAAGACCTAAAGACATAACTGCAGCAGCGCTTTGAGCTCAAAGCTAATGCTAACATTGCAACATGCTAATTAAAACTCCGATAGGAATGTTGTCAGTTTTGTAGATATTTTACACATGAACCAAAATGTGGAATTTGTTTGCCAAGATGTCACAAGAGGAGAGGTTTGCCAAATACATCACGACTCATCCGCAAAGACATTTAGGCATTGTACAAAATGCACAGTACCTACATATTTAAACCATATTATCTAGTAAACAGTAATAGTTTAAATCATTATTTTCAACCTTGTGATGGTGTGGAGAATACTCAACTTGCTTCTACAAAATGACAGAAGGCCAGTGGTCCAGTTAATTTACACACATTTATAATATTTACAAGATGAAAATGAATAAACATTAAAAGGCCCGTAACTAATTTGTACCAGGACAACCTACGGTTAGGCTCGGAGATCGTGTTGTGTGTGTTTGCAGGACATGGGATACATTACACCTGTTGGCTGTTTGTTGTCAGGAGATCACATCCTCTGGGGAGAATGAATATCTGCACAAAACCCAACTTACAGACCAACGTTGCTACAGAGCAACCCCCCCAAAAAAAAGAAACCACACCCTGAATAAGCAGCCCGTCCATCGGCCCCGCGTTTCAACGAGGCCGCTATTGAACTGGCACAAAGAAAAGCCTCCACCAGATACCGTGGGGAGGTGTGGAAACACGGTCTCACTCGTCCCCGTGGCGCTGCCTCCTTCGGCTTTCATGCTCTGCCAAGAAGACATTTCTCACACTGATACTCACAGAGAGGGACCAGGTCGCTCAGCGTGGCGGAGCCAGATGGATACTCACACACTAAACTTCTGCAGAGTTTGATAAAATATACGTTTATTCAGTGGGCTGCAGTGAGATGCAGGCTCATCGATGATCAGGAGCTCCTTCAAGTTTCTATCGGAAAAGTAAAGGTCGCCAAAGTTCAAAGTCTTTGAGGGTATTATATATATATATATATATATATATATATATATATATCAGGATTTTGTGTGGATTGTAACTGTGACAAACAGCTGCAACAATCAAAGAAGAACACCTGACCTGATCTGAAATGTATCACACCTGAATGAAAGAAGCGTGGGTGAAAGAGAAGGTGACAGACGGAGAGAGTCGGGTTTGTTGTGAGACATGAATCATCTTCATCGGTGATGTAATGAGGTGACCTTCACAAACTGGGAGCAACGTGTTGGCGTCGTTTTAAGTCTTTTCAAAAAGGAAGCCATAGATTACAGAGCAATGGTAGCTGTTTAGTTTTAAGGGTTATCTGTACAACTCAGTGGGGGATTAACTTGACATCACCTCAAGAATCTACCTGTGAACCCAGGAATGGTTGTTGTGATACATGTGGGGTTTTTTGTAATGTAATGTTTTGCAATGAGGTGGAAGATCTTACTTATATAAAATATCTGATATTGAGAGCATCAATATAGCAGCAAACATCTACTAACTGTATTAGTACTATTTGCACCGTTAGCTCCGCTGTTAGCTCTGTTGCAGTCATTTGCAAAATTAGCACTGTTGGCACCGTTAGCGTCTGTCTGCCAACTCAACCGCTGCCATGTTGAGAGCCATGTGGAATCAATAGATATTCTCTGGATATTTTGGAGCACCTTCATAAAAGTTACCAGTTTGTTTTTAGCTCTGTAGTTTCTAATATTGACGGTAAGTAAGCTATAACATTTTTGATTGCATTACTTTTGAGTAATACTATATATCGAGTATTTTATTTATTGTGTGTATTTGTACCTTTAAGGCATCTAAAAAGATCCTCCATTACTGAAGGCAACAAATACCGCTGTAGGCGTTGGAATCTGGGTTGTGTGTTTTCTGCTCGTGGAGAGGTTTCATACTACTTGGATGAGGAAGATGCAGTGAAATGGACTGCTGACTAAAATAATTCTTTGAACCAGACTCCTCACTGCTTCAACTGGATTCTTTGAACCTCCCAAAGCTCCCAGTCATCTGGCCATCTGTGATAATATTTAACAAACCTCTCTTTCTCTCTGTCTCTCTGTCTCACCCTCCCTCTGTCTCAGCGTGGAGACGGTATTTTTGTATTCTTGGTTTTTTTTCCTGTGACAAGCAGAAAAGAATGTATTAACACAAATTGGCTTAGCTCGCCATCTAGTGGGGAAAAACACGTCCTACACGACATCTCTCCCAGAATTTTGTGATGATGAAAAAGACTAATTATAGATTAAAACACGACAATTTCTTTACTCATGGAAGTGGAATGATTGTCTATTGCATCAATTGACAAGGTGCCCTGGAGCAAGGCACTTAGGACCAAGTGCTTGCATGCTGAGTCGGGTTGCATTCCTACCGTCACTCCCCTGCACATCCTATACTATTATTAAATCGAATATAAATTAAAAACAAAGTGCACAGGCAAACCGATAACCACACTCCACACAGAGTGTATGATATAGTATATAGATCGTATATTTAATTTAGAATTAAATTTTAAAATGTCCTGCACTGTGTTTATTAGTCGTATTGCCCAATGTTAGGCACCACCCGCTATGACAAGTTCCTGGTATGTCCAACATACATACTTTGGCAATGAGTGGGTCTGATTATGATTATGAAAAGAAACGTAACACTGATACTGATATAATGCAAAAATGTCCTTATTTGTTCTGAAAGTTGTGTGAGTGTGAGACGTTTAGAGGAAGAAAACGTGTCTTACTTGACGATAAAGACTGCAGTTTACAGTGCACGAGGAAACCCATGAAAACATCATGAAAGAAAGGCAAACATGATTTGAACCCTACATCATCAGGGATATGAATGAGAAGCAAAAATATGAGAATATTCCTTGATTTATTTCCAAAAGCTGCACAGAAATTGAGAAAATTCATGAAAAATCTAAATATGAACCTCAGATGTGCTAACTGAAGAATATTTGAATAAAAGTCGATTATCAGATACATATTTTTGCCAAATATGATTTCACATACATGCCTTGGTTTATGACAACAGACATTAAGATCGTTAAAAAAAATAAGCGAAAAGTTAGTAATAAATAGATAGTTAGCATTAGAGCGCTGTACGTGATCACACACCCGCGTGCGTGAAACAAATGCACTGACTGAAATCTTCGCAAGCGCGCACATTACTGAGCTCACGCGAGCGTGAACTACCCGGAAGCCGCCACTAGAGGAGAACTAGGAACCCACCCCGCGTGCTGACGTCACGGGGCTCTGACAAGCTGCTGGTGTCGGAAGGAAAGATGGCGGATCATGAGGAGCAGCTATCCGACGAGGAGAAGGTAAGATGCCGAATTTAATTGCTGGAGTGAGTGAAGCTCGGAGGGTCATGGGGGAAGACAGCCATGCCTGCAAATGTTGAGCCGCCAGTGGAGTCCGTCTCCCACCGGGTGCTTTTCTGTCGTCGACCGCTTGGTTGATTTCGGAGGGGGAAGAAAAAACCCCGAGGCCTCGGCAGATACCGCTGCTGCCGCTTCTGCTCTTTATTATTTTTAGCTCCAACTTCCGCTCGCTTGCGAATCTCAAACGAAGGCTCCTTATAGGGTCCTGACTCAAAATAGGAACCGCATAACGTTATATATGATACATCCACCTAACATTGCCTTCTCTCGCAGCTTTTGTTATTGTGGACCCGTCACTCCCTTTTCCCCGTGTTTCTGCTGTTTTTTTGTGTTATCGAAGTTTTCGTATCGTTAGCTTGTTACTTTAGCACATTCCGCAGCATTGCTAACAGACAGCCAGACGTACTGCACACACACACACACACACACACACACACCCTTTCCACTGTGTTGACGCCACTTTGTTGTCGTTCCACAACACGGCGACTGGCGAATTGTCAACGTGTTATAATAGCGCGTTAATAACATTTGTATGTGTTACGTGACGACAAACCCAGGTGTTCTACGAGCTTGCATGCTAACCGCTGTACCTCTTTAACCAAGTAACGTCTCGCATACGTGCTGGAAGCGACCTAAACACGTGACATTTTACCACTCACTTAACTGCACACTCCAATAGTCAATACCCCGAAATTTAGCTGTTTTATTACCTTAATAAATGGGTCGGTGTATTATTCTTTGGCTAGGCACATCAATTGCAGCTTTTGAGGGATAACTGCGGCTTGAAAGCACAACTGATGAGTTTATTGTCGAACAGTTAATACAATTTGCTCATTGTTTTTATTGGTCTGTGTCCAGTTTTGCAGCGTAAAGCCGATGCCTAACTGTGGGAAAACTTGCATTCTATCTACTGACCAGCAGGGGGCGTCTCCTCTGGTCCTATAGAGGTCTATGAAAAAAATGAGACTACTTCTCTTATGATTGATTCCCTCAGTAAACATGAGTTTATGGTCTCTATCCTTAAGTTGAAGTATTCTTCCTTCAATACAGCAAGATGTTGACGTTGTCATTTATGATCCATTTAGAATCAAACAAAGCTGGGTATGCTTTAGGGCGGGGCTGTGAGTGGCAGGTCGCACACTAAATGTGTGGTGACCTACCAGCGACTGGTGGAGCGGATGAAACGATCAGCCACAGCCAGATTCTCCTGGCTCTCATCTGTTGGCACATTTAGACGACATATCTGCAGCTTCCTTTTGTGGGAATCCTTGCTGTGATCTGACTCACTAGTCTGAGGACTCTTTAACTTTCTTTGGTAGAAAACCCTGTTTTGACAGGGAGCCTTAAAGGTTTCTTTTGTTTGTCGAGTACAATAAATATCTTCGCAGTTTGTCTCGGCGAAGCCCTTCCTGAATGTGTGCCATGAGAAATGTCTGTGCTGCTGTTGATGTTATCAGTGTCACTTTGCTTTTCCAGGAACAAAGACCCCAAAACTCTGTGATGAAGGACTTCTTCCATTTGTAAATGATTAAACGCCATCCGGGCACCGGCCTGCCAGAGTCCTCATTACACCAAAGAAGACACACAGGCGTAGTGCAGGGAACTGCTATTACTCAACCCGTGTCGGTACCTTTTGTTTGTATTGAAGTGACTGGGGCCCTCTTTTAAAAACTATTACCTGTCAACTTAAAAAATTTTGACAGAGGAGACAAATCCAAGCAAATGACAGCTGGCAGTCTACATTGTCTTTAAAATGTCTTTGAGTTTTTATAGGTCAAAAGATACCCTGGGGTTTCTGTGCCTTGTTTCCTGTTTCAGATAGAGCAGACTTTTCTGTCAGCAAGAGAAGTGGTTTGGTGTAATCAGCCATTTTGGTCTGCGTAAGATGGCGTATTCAATAGGCTTAATTCTCCCTGAAGTTTTATGGATGTTCTGCTGATCAGTCATAGATGGGATGAATACTGTAGTTTGAATCCTGTAGTTATCCGTCTGTTGATGAGTTTCATCACTCGTTTGATTGAAAAAGGGATGTTTAAGTGATGCCTGACAGAGTTTTTCTGAAATTGGTGGATTATTAAGACCACAGACGCGTTACGTAATGATTTTAGCACTGAGGTGGGAGTCAGGCGAACAGCAAATGTGACTCAAGAGGCCTTGTCTCTGTCTGGGAGCAGATTTAGCAGGTTTAATAGCACTTCTACCGTTAGCATAAATGTTGTGCTGATATAATGGTCAGGGTATGGTTGGAAACTCGCATCTAGGCCTGTCGCAATATATTGACTTCTCGGACAATATATGAAAATGAGTGCGATCATTTTTGGTGGTGCGATATTCATTTTACATATAAATAAACAACACTAAGATTTTAGTCGATTGCGCTGACCTCTTGTCTGCTTTCATTGTCGGAGGCGGGGCTTAGGAAGCTTCGGCTTTAAGAATGAGAGAACAAAGCCAATAACGTGAACGAGCCGGTACGTCGACTTTGTTTAAAAACAGTGCAAACGAAAACAGGCAACACAACAAAGCTAAAATTTCCCTTAAAACAACAACTATCCGCCTAGTTTTTCAAGCTGAACTACTGTCGGTTCCTCCCGGGCCGCCCTTCTCTCCCTGCAGCGACGGAGCACGTCGCCCTGCCGGCAGTTAAACCTCCTCTGCTGCCGCGCCGCGCTTTTCTGCTGGACACATTTCCCGAACCTACCGCACCAAGCCCGATGCTTCGCATGTTGCGTGTCCCCTGCACCAATTATTTATTCAGGATGTTTTTTTACACATTCCGGTTTCAATGTCTTACTGTTCTGACGAATAAAACGTTCTTTGTTACATTGTTACATTTAGTCTTAGTCTTTAGACGAAAAATGCATATTAGTTTTAGTCACATTTAGTCATTTTAATCCTTTCCTTAGTTTTAGTCGACGAAAACTAGACTAAAATGTAATTAGTCACATTTAATAGCCATATTAAACTGCTTTTCTTCCCTTCTCAGGCCCAGGGACCCCCTGTGTTGTGTCTACAACTGCATAATAGTCTAGCTTGCAGTACTTGATTGTCCATTAGATGTCCCTCCTAGGACAGGTCTATAGCAGCGGTCGGCAAACGTTTTGACTCGGGCCACAATGGGTTGTAAAATTTGATGGCGGATCCGGGCCAAGAACAAATGTTTGAAGTGTTTGTGTGAGCAAATATAAATGACATGTGAAAAATCATTACCTGAAAGGATTTGGCTTTAAACAAAAAGCAAAGCATTTATTTTCAAGGCAATTTAACAAATTGGCAAAGGTGTAACAACTTCATGAGGACCAGGGATCTAAACGCAACACTTTGTTGTCTTTGTCTGTTTACTTGCAATGCTTTTGACACTTCATGGTCCTTTATTGTTTCCACTGTGAAATTGCTCGTCCCAACCAAAGAGACCCCTTAACGTCATACACAATACATTATTTTCTTGGCTGCATCATAAACCAGCCATTCTAAACTGGACCCCCACTTTTCATTCAACAGTCTTTTCTTTCTCTTTGTCTTTGTTTATTTGTTGGTTTCATGACCAGTTCTTCTCTCTTGTGTCCTGCGGGTTTTCCTCCACCTGCTCTGTGCCGCCACGTCCTTCAGTTCTATCAAAAGGATCCACCAGTCACGTGTGTGTGCTTAGTAACGAACGTACGGCGGCCGAGACGGTTTAACACCGTCTTCTCACGATGTGGCGCGTGAACTATAGTTGAAATGCGTGAGGCTTCAGAACCTGCAATGACTTTATTATGTTAGACGTGTTAACAGCCCCGAGCTGTTAAACGGGTCTTCATGTTTCTGTGAAGCAGCACGGCTTCAGCCTGCTAACAGTCAGCTAAACCGAGACAGCTGAGCTAAACTAACAAAGCCACATTCAACCTCGCCGAAGCGTAACAAAAAACCTCGTCGCGGTCCGTAGTCGGTGTACAAGAAGCACCGATACGCGCGTTCTGGGTTCGTGGATGACGTCATCATGACGCGTTAATATCCGCCGTACTTTGCCTGTCTGTTTGCTGCGTTCGAATTTAGGGGGAAAAAGTATTGTGACTTCGTCAACCACCAAAATGTTCGTCTCGTTAACGAAAGTTAGAATAGATTTAGTCATAGTTTTTATTTTTTAAGATCGTTTTCGTCACGTCTTAGTCATGGAAAAAAAGGTCGTTAACGAAAAATTTTCGCCATTGTTTTCGTGGACGAAATTAACACTGATTTAGCAGACGCTTTTATCCAAAGCGATCATTACATTTTTAACCCATGGCTTCTTTGAAAAAGCATACTTGTATTACAATGCTATTATATTGGCATTATGTTATCAGTGGCATAAAATGGTCTCGCTAATAATGTTGGTGCAATAATCGCACAACACCAATTTGATATCGTGACAGCCCAACTCCCATTGACCACCACGTGGGTCCCTGAGCTCGACTCGTGAGCAGCTGCTTCAGACAGTAGGGATGGACATCCAAGTAGAACGCTGGAAACACTGGTATCTCCTTTAAACTGAAGAAGGCATAGACAGAGGAGCGAAAAGAAAGGGCGCTCCAGCGAGTATCGAGGTCTCGCCCTGATACAATGATAGCTGTAACCAGCAGTGTTTTCCCTAACGTCATCACAAATATGCATCCACATGTTGGTGTTGTACACCAGCTATGAGAGATGGAGACCGAATAAGAAAGAGGAAAACACCTTTTTAACTATCTTTTAAAGCTGTTTCCTTCCCCCTTTAATCGTCAAATTCTAAAGGCTTTGAAAATGTATGAGAGAGAGTAAATAATACCATGGTAACCAATTACTTTCCAAGTTTGATGTCCCCCAAATTTATCATTAACGCTCCGCCGAGACAAAGTGAAACCGCTAGCTGCTTGGAAGGAAGGAGCCTAATCTGAAACACTTTTTATGATTTGCCATCTACGTGATTTGTAGTTAACGGGCTGAAGCGTAAAATAAGATGTGTGAACCTGCAGCTTGGGATTGTGTCAACCCGAATAGGAAGCACCCGCCAGCCTAAAAAGACGAAAAGTGCCCCCAGAAAACCGTCACTTTGTCTAACATAGTGTCACGTAGATGGAAAAATCCCCGATCTTTATCACCAGGAAGCCGTTTCATTAAAACGTCTGCCTCCGACTGGATTCATGACCTGATTTCTTCAGCTTCACCCTGAGCCAACAGGCCGCCACCTCCTCATTTCGATCAGCGGAGGAGCGTTTCTGGTCGCCCTGCGGCTGCCGTCGCACCGTGGATTTATTATTCATGAGTTAGTGCACCCACGCTCACCAATACCCACCCTAATCAGACAGGTTTTCCACTGAATTCGGCTCTGATCAAAGCATCTCCAGTCTTTAAAAAAAAAAACTCAGGATATTGAAATGGAGGCGCGCCAGGGAAGGGGATCAAACTCCGGCAGATGATGCAGCTTAAAAGGCCCTCGGGCACAACAAAAAATACATTGCTTTGAGTGCACTCCTGCAGTGTTTTTTTTGTTCTGGGTACCGTATTATTTTCATGGCTCTGGGGCGATATGCAATTTTGATGTTGGTTTCAGTGTCAGCGGGTGTCGGTGCAGTTTGTTAGGAAAAGGAGGGGTTGCTGGGTAATATGAGGAAGGATATACAGTGTGCGAGTTGATTTGAGAAGAGAACAGCTGGTGTCTAAGACAAGAGAGGACAAAGACCCAACACTACGGGGAGGGCGGGGGGGTTGGTTGGTTGGTTGGTTGGTTATGTACCATGTTTATTGAATGTGTCTGTTGGCTCCACTGTTGTTATTCCAGCTCCTGGGGTATATCTTCCAGGGAGATAAAAGAGGGCAAAAGAGACTTTCTCCAAGATGATGATGATGATGACTTATTTATAGTTAGATGAGGCTCGCTCATAAACAACAACTCTCACGGCAGCACTCAGCAGCCTCTTGCTGTCTCTTCTGTTCCTGGAAAATGATCAAACTACTGTCTGTTTTTGTCTTTACATGCACAAGGATCTCTATTTACTGCAGTCTCTTAAGAGCCACATTAAAGCATACCCTGCGTTATGGTCCATTCTACCCTATACGGGACCGTAATTTACATAGTGAACATCATAGGTAAAAAAAAGGTTTTATTCGTACAACAGGGTTTCTCTATATGCACAATGTAGTTCCATTTTGCTACATAAGAAAGAATAAAAAACAGCCGGAGGAAAGGAGCTGGTCTCGAGGCTGCTGGTTTGCACCTGATACTTGTGTATTCTTCTGCAGACGGCAGCAGAGTGAACATATTGTGTCTATTTATATCCCCATAGCTCTTGCAGGCACTCCTTGTCAACAATACCACTGGCGCTCGCTAGATGGGCACCAATGATGGCGGCTTTAGTCCCCGCTGGGCCGTGCACATCCCACACCAACTTGTGATCATGCCTCTGTAAGAGTTGACACTGAAATTTTGGACCTTACGTCTGTCTGTAAGAGACTGCATTGAAAGTTCTTTGTGGGCGACTGTTTTTTTTCTACAAGCAACAATCATCTCCTTAGTTTTACTGAGGTTAAGCAGTAGGGTTTAATTGCTGCTTCATTTAATAAGACTTGCAACTAGAGATTAAGTCCATAAACTGACATTTACAATGTTTGAGGGAATAAATCAAGAGAGTAGTCATTTTCTCATAGACTTTTAAGGGACCAGAGGAGTCGCCCCCTCATGGACATTAGAGAGAATGCAGCTCTAAGCCACTTTTGCATCGGCTTCACTCGTTGGGACCGCAGGTTTCCGCCTGCTCTTCAGTCCTCCAAGAAGCAGCTGAATGAAACCCTGCATCCTAAATGTTAAAACCTGCGTTCCTGGAGGCTCGGAGATGCTCCCTCACGTGGGAAAGTCTATTTAAACACCATACAGTCTCATTTGAATCATTTTGGCATTTTGGTCTCCAGCAAACCCAATTTCTGAGGGCACACTCCTCCCTTGTACTTCCAAGTTTTAGACTTGGCACCAGTGCGTCACGATGTTCTTGTGACTGAGGATCAAGATACAGATGCACTTTGATCTCACGATCTCGCACACACACACCCTCCTCCCTGAGTGTTTTTCTGTCTCTCCACATCGCTAATTAGTGACAATCCATCTGCAGCTTTGCACCAGTGCCAGATTACTTGTATATGCGCACACACACCGCTAAGGGCCCATAGGAGACACAAACACACCTTCCCTGATACACCAGCTTGTGACAGAGAGGAGTTGAGACATTTTGAGGGGTAGGGCGAGAGGGAATATGTCCACTGGAGTCCTCAGCACATTTTCATGTCCTTATATGGCTGTAAACCGTGAGGGTGGGGTGGGGGCATCATCCCTCTCTGTTTGACATGTGACCTGGAAACAGGAAGTGTTGCGGTGCAGCAGCAGGCAGTGACAGTTTCGTCGCAGCCTCTGCCGGCCACAGTGTGTACACGTAAAAACAAAAGGATAACACAGATTAAACTCCATCATTTAACAGCTGTGTTTGAAGTGCCAACAATCTCCCCACATTTAGCCATAACGTTTTGAAACCAAGGTCCTTTAGGGACACAGTGGTGGTCCTCTGCAGACTGTGTGCCGTGCAGGGTAACGTTAGATGTTGAGATGGAAGTAGCACAGCAGCTAGCTTAGCATAGCAGTTTGCCACTCACCCCCTTTCTGTTTGATACGTGGAGGAATTCCTTTGCACAGTTCTCTGCAGTATGTCGCGCCTCTGTTTATTTGCCTTTATAATGCAAAAAGCTCTCTCCATCTTGATGTAACTGACTGCAGCTAGCAGCCGTTTTGTTTCCACGGTCATCTTCCGGGACCGAAAGACAACAAATGTACGTTAACTACGTTAAAATATTTGGTTGCGTTTATATAGATAAATGCATAGATTAATGCATATATAATAATATATATATATATATATATATATATATATATTAGATTAGAATTAGTCACTTACCCATAACCTTTTTTTGGTTTTGTCTGCAGGTACGCATAGCAGCTAACTTTGTCATCCACGCCCCCCCGGGAGAGTTCAACGAGGTGTTCAACGGTGAGCATCCTTTTTTATTTTTCACATTTGCTGACGTGTAAATTGTGAAGAATTGGTTCTGTTGAAAGGTCCCGCAGAGGACCTTCATCCCTCCTCCTCCTCATGTCCATCGTTTAAAAACAGGGTGTCCCACCACACAGGGCAGACTAAAGATATTCAGAAGAACTGACTGAATAGAAGGCGTCATTGATGTAGCAAAGACATACAGCACGTTTTATGCTGTTAAAAAAATGTACACTAGAGGAACTCGTAGCCCCCGTTGTCCGAAACAAGACGTCAAACGTAATTACTCATTTCCACAGAGACGGCGTTGGGCTCAGTAAATGTCGCCGTCTGTCTGCCTCTTATCGCAGCGCCGCAGCCCCCTTTTATCTCTGTGTGGTTGTACAGCCTCTTCACACTGAGCTAATTCCCCGTGTCTGCGCCCCCCCCCCCCGCCCCGTCCCGTCCCGTCCCCACCTGCCCATCCTCCCCCTCTGCTGCTTGGTCTCTGGTGTGGTGGTGCTGATCTGCTGCAATTGTCTCTCCTCAGATGTGCGATTGCTGCTCAACAATGACAATCTCCTCAGGGAAGGTGCAGCGCAGTAAGTCCCCCCCCCTCTATCTGGTATCCCCTAATGGTCCTCATATTTTGATATTTGTTTGATTGCAGAAAGACTTCAAAGTCTGTATATATTTCCTGATAATCGTTATTTACTCTTAATTACTTTTAAAAATGGCATTTTTTTGAGTCCGGATGATATTTCTGAAATCCTTCCATAATTCAATCACACTCTCATTCTGCATATTTTTAATACATGTTACAAATACTTTAAAAAAACTGATTTCTTCAAACAGAGTAATCGTTTGTTTCAGCTGAGATTATTTTTTATTACATCTCGCAAAATAAATGAAAGTTTAGCGTATATCATAAAGTCAAATTTCATCTCACGCACACACACACGCCCCCCCCCCACTCTGAAGTAGCGTTTTGTCTCTTCCTCTGCAGCGCCTTTGCACAGTACAACTTGGACCAGTTCACCCCAGTCAAAGTCGAGGGCTATGAAGAACAGGTGAGTTTAAGCCGAATTTGACTGTCGGATTACCAACTATGATTATGATGGGTTTAAGTCATGTTTTACTACACGTGTTAGCGATTTAAATGAGCAGCTATACAGGGTTTCTTTGTTCTCATTCATTATCTTGTGCGTGTGCTTCTTGTGTAAAGATGGCCTACTGTCGGCACATCACAGGTTTAAATTCCCCAGAGTGTCTTCATTCTTTTAGTATTTTTCTCATTTCTCTAGACTTTCTTCTCCGTGCTGTTTGCCACCTGGTCAAGTTGTTCAGTTGTTTTCATTTTTCCTGTACCTCTGTCCTTTACTCACTCTGGTGTCGCCTCTCCCCATTTTCAGGTCTTAATCACAGAGCACGGCGACCTCGGTAATGGCCGGGTCCTGGATCCCAAGAACAAGATCTCCTTTAAGTTTGACCACCTCAGGAAGGAGGCCAGCGACCCGCGGCCCCAAGACGTGGGCGGCTCCCTGGAGGGGTGGAGGAGCGCCGTGGACTCGGCCGTCAGGGCCTACGTCAAGGAGCACTACCCCAGCGGGGTCTGCACCGTACGTCACCGCTTCTACTGTCCTTATCAACCTTTTTGGCTTCTGTTGGCGTACCGCTCCACAGCCGCTGTGTGTGGGTAACGGTATGTTTGGGAGCTGTGCACTGCGTCCCACCTCAGCGAAGGGAACCTCAAAGCGGCCGTTATCTGTGAGGAGGAAAAGCTCAGTCAGAGAACACCTTCTTTCCGTTCCCCCCTCAGATTTACGGGAAAACCATCGACGGACATCAAACCATCATCGTGTGCATCGAGTGCCATCAGTTTCAACCTAAAAACTTCTGGTATGTTTCACACTGCTGCTTCATATGCAACCACAGTTTTTACTTGTCTCGCTTTTTTCTGCATTTTGCACCACTGGGGTTTGCTGGGAATATCTTTTGTAGTTTTAGATGTTGTTCTTCCTCAGAAAGCCCAGTGGGGTTTTGTGGAATCCCCAGTGATGGTTAACTTCATTTAAAACAGGGAGTACAAGATGCTCTGAAGTCATTGCATTAATTGATTGGGTGAATCTGATTTGGATGGGAGCTGCAGCCATCCTCTTTGCTTACAGCCAGTTCACCGTAACCATCTCGCCCGCTAACCGCCATGTTAGTGTCATGAGGACGTCCAGGGACACGTCTATGCTGACATGAGGATGTGAAGGGCAGACAGATGCCGGTTTAGGGGATCAGGGACTGTTGATGTTGAGCTCATCATCGCCTCATTTTGGTTTTCCGTCTTACTTTCCGATTGGTGTGTTACTGGGTCTGCCTTTTAAAGCTTGTTGGCTCCGCCCAGGGACTACAGATTGAAAAGGCGCTTTTAGTTGTATCTGGTACGATACATGTACCACGCATTGTGTGAAATAGGCGATAAAAAGAATAGACACTGTGTACTCGTTAAAGAGCTCATAAAAAAATCTGAATTGTCAGCTTTGGCTCTGTGCTAAAAGTCTGTTTTCCTTCTTCTCTGCACAGGAACGGACGCTGGAGGTCAGAATGGAAGTTCACCGTCTCCCCCTCCACCACTCAAGTGGCAGGAATCATGAAGATCCAGGTATTTGCTTTAAATCCTCCACCCTGTGAAGAAGCAAGCAGGTCTGTTGCTCTGTGGAATTGAATTGACATTAGCTGGTGTGTGTTTTCTTTGTCAGCATCTAGTCAGAACTCGGCTAAATGAAAAACAGATTTAGGATCATTTCTGTCACACTTTATGTGGAGTAACTAGTAGTTAATTCACCCGAGACACAGGGAGTTGTTGACCAGAGTGTTATTATTTAAATGTGCACAGTGACGAGAAGCTTTCCACCCCTTCAGGTTCATTACTATGAAGACGGCAACGTTCAGCTAGTGAGCCACAAAGAGGTCCAGGAGTCCATGTCCATTTCTGTGAGTAGAGCCCAACGCATTCCTCTTGTGGTCTCAATATCACAAACAACCCCCACCATTTACTTTTTCCTCTGTGTGACCTTTCCTTTTAACTGTGCAGATAAAACATGACTAGAATGTCAGATATTGAACATATTATTCTCACGGTTAGTTTTATTTATTGCCCCTCTATGATCCAATTGTTCCCTTTTCTGGTTTCACCTTCTAATCCTGTATTGATTTTCAAACCGCTCCCTGGGGTATTCGCCCCCCAAATAATCTGCAGTCTGGAGGTGTTATTAGCTTGTGTATTCTCTGAAGTCTTCCATTTATGACCCCTCCCCCCCCCCCCCCCCCACACACACACACTCTTGAAATTGATCATGTGTCCTACCTTCCAGAATGAGGCTTCAACCGCAAAGGAGTTTGTTAAGATCATGGAGGCTGCAGAGAACGACTATCAGGTATGATTTATAGGTAGAAAGTATTTCTGTGAGGTATGTATGTATTTACATTACAGTTTGGTGCAGTACAAAGAAAACATAACAAACTGTTCTCTTAAAACCATATTGAGTAAGACCTCTTGATACAAATGAACACAAAGGTTCAGTGGACAACTTCATCTAACTCCCCTCCTTCCCACAGACCGCCATCAACGAGAACTACCAGACCATGTCGGATACTACCTTCAAAGCCTTACGCCGCCAGCTTCCTGTGACGCGCACCAAGATCGACTGGAACAAGATCCTGAGCTACAAGATCGGCAAGGAGATGCAGAACGCCTAACCAGGACGGAGAACATAGCACCCCCCCTTCCCCAAACAACGTTGCATGACTGGATAGTTGTATCGTCTTTGTACAGAAATTAGAGAAACTGGGACAAAGAGTCGTTTTGGTCTCACAGCCATACGTCACACATTGGATGTCTACTTTTATCGATGTTATTGTTTTTTTTTATACAGACACCGTTAACTCCTGTATATCGAATCTATCATGAAAAAGACAAGTGTGTTTTGTGGAGAATAGAACTTGAGGAAAATAGTATGAGACATAGGAAAAGGAGGAGGGCGCGGGGGCGAGCACTTGTATGCAAAGACATCCTCATCAAATACAATGTCACGTGTGCAATATTTATTGTGTCAGTGAGACCACAATTTTTTTTTATTTGACCCGCCGATTAAAATAAATGTAAATTGATGTTGCGATGATTTCGTTCCACTTTGCGGTTAAAGTCATGGAGACAAAAGGACGGAACTTTGTGTTCTTTGAATGGTGTTTTTGGCACAACAATCACCACTCCGTGTTCCTGTTCCTCTTTTATTTTGGTACTTCCCCTCGCCGTTGGTCCTGCGTGTTTGTGTGGGTGAGATCTGAAGAGTGCAGCGCTCGCCGCTTGAACGACTTTTTTTTGTTTTTGGGGTTGTCTTTTTTTTGACTCGACGCGATGCGGGAAGTTTCTGTGACCACGTGGCACGCTTCATTAACAAAGTCATCAGTTGCTAAGTCATGTGCATATTGTCCAAGACAACAGAACAGAACTTGGGTGTATTATATAACAAGGCACATTGTAATATATACCTGTATGAAACATCCTGTCTGTCAGTTTGGTGATTTATTTCCATGAGATTAATTGTAACTCAAGTCACAATTCTGTTGCATTAAATGACAAATTTTCTATTTATCGGCTCATTCGATTTCTGATGCCTTTATTGTATTTGTTTTATTCTAAAAGTGACAAATACATCATAGCGTGTATTTTGAAGATGTAACATCTGCACTATAGCTGCATTTATACCTAGAATTAAATATGGCAGATTGACTTTAGTTTGATTTGACTGCAGTCTTTAATGTACAATCCAAAACATTCTTTGGAGAACAATTGGATGAATGAATTTCCCACACATGAACCAGATACATTGTATTATATTACATGAGCAATCTGTGATGAAAAGAGAATGACTTTCTGCCCATCCTTTTTATTAGTGGTGATAAATAAATCATAACTTAATCTGGGCTCAAACACACGGGCACAGACTCAACGTGTTAAGACCGCTGGTTGTTGGAGCTGTACTCGATGGGGGGAGAATAACAGCACGTATCTATGGAAAGGCATGGCCCGTTATTCAGCATTTTAGATCAGTTTGCTAAGGCGCTGTACTGATGATTAATTATTTATTTCCTGGTGACTCCTATGTGTGCGTTTTTTTAATCAAACGTTTAAGAAGCTGTGTATACGTTTTGTTCAAATACATAAGCAGAGGTCCAGACAGGTATTTTAAAAGTGTCTGTCTGACGGTCTGAGAACGGCGCAGTGCAGTAGGGTGAGTGAACTGACAACTGCCTGTTAGCCTAATAGGTGTCCGTTCAGTAATATGCTCGTCTCGTTGTGGGTTTATTTTAGAGGGGATTTATTTATCACCTATAAAAATTCTCAAAACTACGATATCATATAAATTGTTTCCCTCTGCCTGTCTTTCCAGTTGAAATTGCCTTGAGATAAATTAGGTAAACCGGGGACAGCGACACCGTGAGGCGGCCAAAACGAACTGTCCAGGTTAGCTAGCCGGTGGCTAACTGCTAATGGTTAGCTAGCCGGCTAGCCCCCGTTCCGCAGACACGTCTACACCACCAGTCCTCCGCTGCTGGATACTGGTCACATGTTGCACTGCTGATGGAAGAAATGCGATCTACGAATACGGATTTACACAAACTGAGGTAAGCCCCGACACACGCGCACCATTCACAGTGTCTCCAGTTAAAACAACACATTTTTTAAAGCTTTGCAAACGTCAGCCAGCTCTTGTTAGCATTTAGCTTAGCGAGATGAGAGGCTAACACGTAGGCAAGTTTAAATGTAAAATCTTCTCGCTCGGGGAAAACGTGCGCGTGTGAGCGTCCACGCGATGTCCCGAACCACCGTGAGAGTTACATCTCTCACAGCCTCGTGCTGTGTTGTTTTAATTGAGTCTCCATCATGAGTCAGTGACAGCGCTTCGTCTGTGGTACTCCAGACTTTACAACGCATGTCCTCCGGGGAGGGGGGCTTTTAAGTGAAGTTCAACACGGACGTAAAGCCCCCGAGTGACTGCTTGTGGACCTCGGAGTGGTTTCTCCCCCTCCCCGTGGATGGAAGAATGGGCTCTTTTAGTAAAGCCAGCTGGCTCCGACTCGAGAGGACAGGAGAGCCCGTTGGACGGACGGACGGACGGACACACACACACACACACACACACACACACACACACACACACACACACACACACACACACACACACACGGCGGAGTCTGTGTGGAAGCGGGGAGAAGTTTGTGTGTCCGGGTTGACCTTGTCACTTCTCGCACAGGAAAGGTGTTGATGCGTGCGCGTGCGTGCTGCTGGGTCCTGGACCTCCTACATGAGTCTGTGAATGATGGAAGATTATATTTATCTTTTATGTTTTTTGAAGTCAAGCGGCTCTGAGCCCTGGTAGATATTATTTGCTACCTCCTATCATAGCAATTATCTTCTCAATAAGCTAATCTAATGGATTGTTAGTTTTTTGTCTTATTATGTTTGCTATTGTTTAATTGTTGTTTTAGTTTTTGTTTAATGTTTTGTCGACTTGTACAAATACCCCTGAGAACGAGCTACTTTGTATCAAGGGGTTATTTTTCCATACAAGGGATATATGTACTGTGTAATCATTTGGCTGAGTTTTTTTCATTTTGGTTGATTTTTGGCTTTATTCTTTTAAAGTTTGACGATGTCACCACTCCTTTCAAACAGACTGGTACTTACTCAAATGATTTCCTCCTCACCTGTTGGTGTCCTTTGCGTGAAGAATGAGGTATTTTACCACCAGGTACACGTCTCTTGAAGGGCCATTAGCTGGTGAGTCAAAAATGTAAATTTGTGATACGGAGTACAACTGGCAGAGTTTCATAAGCAAATGAGTACTGCAGACTCCTCACATTCGGAACCTTTTGAGCTTCTTTATTTCTTTATTTTTTATAGATATAACACATTATTTCCATGCTGAAAAGTTGAGCTTTTGACCTCCGTTCCATAGTGGGATGTCGTACACAGACTGACCTCCTGTTACACTACTCAAACTGAGAGTAACGTGTTCTTTTTATGACATACTCTCTCTTCCTGTTCCTCAACCACACTGGCTCATATACACACATGTGTATTTTGCTTGTTTGCCCTTTACTAAGTACATTGGTGAACGGCGGGATTGCCCCTCGACCTGACCAGATGTCCATTACAACTCTCACTTTCTCGCTTCCTTTGCTTTTGATTTAGCAATTAGCTTCTTGTGTTTTTTTCCTTCTCAGAATGGCTTTTGGCAGGACCAGAAAACATGACGGGTCCTTTTATTAAATGCTGTGTTGCTTCTGTTATTTGGTAGAATGTTCTGTTTGGTTTCCTCTTTCATTTGATGCCTTCCTCGCATTGTTGTTGAATAACGGTGTCAAACTATTTTATTCATTCATATTTGTACTTGATATCTTCTGCCCAGCTTCAACGTAGCTGCCCTAAAGTTATAAACATGACCTGATTTGTTTGACGTACGTCACATAGTTAGTATGATCAGCTTCAGACTGAGCCAATGCCCAATATTTATCCTCAATCTGAATAGATCAACATTAATGTTTAACATGGACTCATGTCAATTTCAATGTTTTTCCAGGGTTTTTTTCGGCGATCGCCACCGAGCTAAAAGCTGAAACGTCAACTAACGGTCGCGCAAAATCTAACCTGTTACTTTGAGCGCGCAGTGATACGGAACGCTCGGGTCAATGTGAACAGCAACTGTACATTATCGCTGAATAATGTACCCCCCCCCCCTGTGACTCACACTGAACCAATAAGAACAAGGGGAAAGTCAAGTTCCTTACTCTCAGTGCAGCATAACCAGTGGCAGTTAAAGCACTGTGGTGTATTTAGGCTATTACGAGGCTATATTGGTATCTCTAGAGCTTTTATGTGTGAGTGAGAGAGTGAAGTTGTTCTCTTACCAAACCTGAGAGCTGAAAGTGCCTTTTGCTCAATTTGAAGTAATCTATGTTTGGCTAGTTCATGACAGCATTATAATCTACCTCCTAGAAAATGGCAACTTTCATGGAACAGTTGCACAGCACTCTATTCATTACATCAAATCATGGATGTGAAGGACTTTCCTCAATATGTCGACAACAGTTTTGGAACTCGTTCCTTCAGCATTTTAATGTCTTTTGAGATGTAAAAGACCAGCTCTGATAAAGGTGAGATAGCCCAAATAAACCTCTGGTGTACTTGAGAAGAACATTGTTTGGTGAAAACATGTTTCTGTTCGGTGGCTTAGCACCCATCGTCCATCCATCCACCTCCGCATACGCCGCCCGTCAGTGTGTAGATCGCCGAGCTCAACAATGAGCTGCTGGTGGCACGGTTTCGTGCAACGATGAGTCTTTGTGGAAAAGGCATTATCGTTTTGATGTGCCTCCACGGAGCTCCAACGGTCAGAGCATAGAGAGATTTACGGAGTGTTTTGTGGGGCCGGGGTGGAGCAGCGCTGATGGGGAAGAAATGGCATTGGATGGCGTGTCTGGTTTTTCTGGGTTCAGACGCATTCTGCGGCTGTAATGTTCCCCACAGACTTCTTTTTTTTTTTCTCCAGGCTGGGGTCGTAAAGCCTCGACAATGAGTCTTTCCACAACTCTGGGAATAAGAAACGGCCTTCAAGGAAACGTCACAGTAATGCAACCATTTCCACAGATCACACTGGAGTGGTAAAAATCCAATCCAGATTCAAGTTGCAGTATTAAAAGTAGAGAGTGACAGAGTGGAACCCTCTGAGTGGGCAGAATGACGTGCCACCACATATTCACAGCAAGGCCAGATCCGACCGGTCAGGGAGGCTTTATTTAGAACGTGTGTGTGCTGTAATGTGATCTCGGCCACATATGTTTACCCTTCCTTTGACGGGGCCCCAAAAAAACCTCACCTCCGCCATCAAAGTCTTGTCTCAGTGTCTGTGTTCAATCAGCCGGGGGCGGGTGAGAACATCCACATCGGAAAAGCCTGCAGCACCCTTCAGACTTAAGCACGGTAACGCGGTAATTCAGGGCGAACCCTCCAAAGCCCTCACAGCTGGCTCAGTCGAACCACCAGGCCAGCAAAGGGCCCCGGCCAAGTGAGGGAAAGGTTGAGAAGCTGCTACGTGGGCACGCCAGCTGCACAAAACGGGTGGAGGTGCAGTACGGGGGAATGAGGTGAAAGCCCGGGTGAACATACCCCCCCCCCCACCCCTCGCTAAACCGTTAAGCCGCCGTGATGGGTGGGAGTGAGATAAGGATGGGCTCGGAGACAAACTTAAGGGATTTCATTTTTTTTAAAGAATGTTCAAAGTTGAGATGTAAACCGAGCGAAGGTGAAAACTCCTTTTTTTTTTTTTTTGGTATTACTCGTGTGTGTACACTTTGGTATCCATCCATTGTGGGTCTGCTCACCAACCCACAAACTGAAAAAGACAACACAAATATGTTTCTTGTTGGCTGCAAACAAGCACATATGCTTGAACCGTAGACTGTATACACACAAAAGCACAAAGTCCCCGTGTGTCACCTGTTGGTTTCTTGTGGCCATATCTGGTATGCAGAGGATTGACCGAGAGATGCTGCATCAGGACCTGGTTGCAACATATCAATCAAAGCATC